AAAAACAGGATTAGGGTTGTAAATCAACTTTTGATAATAAAAGGTTCTTTTTTTTATGAAAAGGGAAGGTTCTTGACACTAATTATTCTAAGCTAGAAATAAAGTTAAGATATTATAAAAGCATGAAGGAATTCATTCTTCATGCATATGTGTAAAGAAGCGTACGAGTAATTGAAAAATCTAATAATCCAAATCCAAAATAAATTTTAACTTTTTTTAACTCTAAATAGTAACCCATTAAAAATGGTAACCTATCAAAAAGCATTGCCTATATTTGCATTTTGATTAGGGAGATGTCTCTTTTAAAAAATAAAATGAAATAATTGAAACAAATAAAAAGCTTTTAAAATTTCTATTTCAAATTACATGTAATCGATGACAGTCTCATAGTCAAAAGCATTCTTGTGAAGTACGTGGGTATTCTAATTAATGATTTTCAAGTATTAAATTTGCATGTGCCTTAAATTTTTTTTTTTTTAATAGCTAGGCTCTCATATGCATAAAAGATTAATTACTACTTTAAGAAAAGATTAACAAAAAAATAAGAGGTGGGAGGGGGAATCTTCTTCCTTTTTTAATTGCACTTTGAAGTTTGAAAAATTTTGAATGTACATCGTCATCATACTATAAAACAATTAATTTGTGATGTCAATAGCCATTAGTCACAACAAATTTACACATATGCATAGCTACTTTTTGTCTATAAAAATATAATTATATATATTCTTCATTTTTTTTTCTCTAATCCCTTTTAAATATCATTTGCCTTTGGTGGCAAATGGCAATGCTAATAATGGGGGATAAGTATTGAACATATGGCTTATCCCGAATGTTCATCCACCTTCTTTAGGAGGTGTTTCCCGATTAGACTTGGATTCGATATCTAGTAATTGCAAATTTATTTTTTTCCAAACTTTCTGAGGTCTTTACCTTCTTATGTACTAAAAAAATAATGGAGATAAGTATTTGTTAAAATAATTAATTTTTAAAATATAATATTATTTTTTATATAAAACGATTTTTTTGGGGGTTATAAAAGAGATAGATTATTTGAAATTGGGACTAAAAATCCACCTTGCATTATCTCCTCCACTTATAGTTTTTCTTTTTCTTTTTGGAGGACGGAAAGGGAGACCAGCTAATTAAATTAGCATTCAAAATTTTGCAAAAAATTTTGTTAAGATGAAAGAAAGCCTAATTATTTAATTGGATTTTGATTGAACTATAGTATTGTAATTATGTAACGTGGGAATGCTAAGATATTTATGATTGAATAAAAATATAAATATGTATAAAAAATATATAGGGATCAACTTATGTAGTGTAAATTTTTTTAATTTTACACATATTTTTAACCATTGATTTCAAAAGATCTAATAGATGAGATTAAACAAATTTTCCTTTTTTTATTTGTCTTTCTCATCATTTTAATCTATTAAAATTCAGAGTTAAAAAAATATGTAAAATTTAAAAATTTTACACTGTATAAATTAATATATCCTAAAAATATATATAAACAAGTATGCATATTTAAACATATCTAATATAATAGTAAAAGTTGTGTGGAAGACTTTGGTTAGAGATTTTAAATTAAAATAAAGTAATTTAAACACTTTTAAAATTTCAAATTTTAATTTAATTAATTATACAATCATTTTTTAAAATGACATCTAACAGATTTACGATTTAAATATTAACATTTACAATCTATTTTTTATATGTGATTTTCTTTGAAAAATTAGTATAATTAATTAAGTCCGAGTAACGTAAAAATGTATCAAACTTTTCACTTTATAACTTTTTATTACTCCTATTTTGTTAATGTTGGATTGTGGGTTAAATATAATTTAAAAAATTTCATCAAAACATAACTCATTAGCTATCCTCTTACTCTAGTAAACTTTTTTTTTTATACATAAATAAAAAAATATTATAAGTATCGAGATTTAAATTTTAAATTTATTAAATATTATTTTTTAATAATAATATTAATTAATTAAATTAAACTTTCAATTTTAAATAAACATTTCTTTAAATCTATTAAAGTAGTTTGCACTGGAGACAGCAAAATTAATAAAAGTTTTGTATACTGTAGTATGTTGAAAACCAGTGCATCATATTTGTATTGTTTTTATTATTCTATGGGACTAAGGTATAGCTGGGACTATAGGAGCTTTTCTGATTTGTAGATTTAACTAATTTTGTCTCATTTGGGATTATTATTAAAACCACAATTGGGAAACAAGATAATAATCATCAATCCTAATCAATGCCAAATTCAGTTCAAGTTGGATTTTTATTTTTGAAACAAAAGAAACAATTTACAGCTCATTTTGCTTTGATTATAAAAAAAAAAAAGAAGAGAAGCAATTTCTAATATCTATATCAAGATCTTGTTTTTGTTCTTAATTTGTTTTTTTAAGAATGCTAAGAAATTAAAGATGCATTCTCAATAATATTCATTTTTTCTTGAAATTATTATGAATTGAATTTTAATTATTAAAATTTAAAAAATCTTCAATTATTTTGTTATTAATCAAAGTAGGAAGCACATATTATAAAAGAAAATTTCTTCGTTCAAAGTTAGGCAATCGATGACAAAAACACAAGCAGGCTCGGGGACCCCAAATAACAAAGACAAGACATAGAGGCAAGACAGAAATACTACACCTGAAACCCCCCCCCCAAAAAAAAAACCTGAAAGTTACCATGCCAAAACAACAGTGCTCAGTCTTCACTGCTTCACTGACTGATTGACTGACTCAGGTTTCAATGTGACACTCTTAACCCACACTCCCAGTTACTGCAGTTGTTTATTAGAGATCAAGACTCGTAAGATCACTCCCATTCCTTCTGCTGCTAACCGTATGGCTCAGTCTCAGACCCAGAAAAAAACACAAGCACTTGGCTCACCCTGTTTCTTGGGTCCCATTTCCGGGGTGTCGTTTCAGTGAGAGGCGCGCGAAAACAGCGCGGGAGCTGTTTCCCGATGCACTAGACATCATAACTCCCTGCCTTGGCAGTCCCCACTCCTCTTTCTCTCCCCCATTGCAACATATTTTTTCCTTTTAATTTCTTTTTTTATATACTTTATGGGGTCTGTTGCCAATCACATCAAATGTTAACTCCGTTTTTATCATTTGACAGGCACCCATTCCCCATCTCTATTCTCTCCTTTGAAGGTGGAAGGAGAAAGAAGGGAGGGGCTTAGGCTAACATGCACTTGGGGGAGGGAGCCTCAGCCAGCAGCCTACACTATACACCCATGTGGGAAATGGGGTCCATTGGAGCCAAGTATTTCAGACAGGGATGAGACTGTTTTTGGATCCAATCAAAACACACACCAAACTTATCATGAAGCTCTCACAACTCACAATCCAACCCCAACAATTGCTACTTCCAATCACTCACCAATCTTGTATATTCTTTCCCTCTCACGTGTTTGGTTTAGAAAATTTTATATTCTTCTATCTTACTGTGTACTAAGCATGTGTTTGAATTTAATTAGATTAGTTAAAAAAATTTTCATAGAATATAGGCAATTGTATATTGAAATTTTTTTATATATTTAAATTTATCAAAAATATATTTACATATTCTAATGATTTTTTTTAATTTTTTCATTTGCATAATGTAAATTGGAATTGCCCTCGTTATTTTATTTCGTTTTGATAATTTTCAAAATTATGGATTTGAATTTATTGATTGTGAAAAAAGATTTATATAGAAGAGACTTTTCATCTAAATCGATGGTGTCTAATCATGTTTTTATAAGAACGAAAATGTCACAGCAACAATCAATTACGACAATCACGTACACTACAAAATTACTAAAACCCACTTCTTGAATAGAGAAAAAAAAAATGAAACAAAGTGTTGTACAATAACACCAATTAGTGGTAGTCTAGTAGGAGTAGATAATTGATGTGAAGCATAATGTGGGGGCATCAAATTGCAGCTGGAGGTAATTACATTTCAATTGTTTGATTAAGACAGTAATATGCTGCTTCCTATTCCCAAAACTTCTATCATTTTACATTGTAGTTGTCTAGTGTTGATAAATACAATTATTTATAAAACTGACATTGATTCTTACACATTCTGGAGGGGATATTTTGTAATTAAGTGAACAGAAGATGGCATTATTATGTATAGGTTTAAAACTGTGTTTTGATTTGAAGGAGAAGAGAGTTTTTGGGTATTTTCACATCAGATTTGAAGGAGATGGCCAATGGATTTTAACTGAAATGATGGTAGAATCCTATAAAAAATCAACGATGGCCCCATTTAGGCCAAGAACTTCCATATCTCCCACCTAGTTGTTTTTTTTTTCTCTCAAGTTCAACCTAATTGGAGAGCCTGTCTAATCCATTCTTGCTCCTTTGCACTTTAATTACTTCTCGGCCGCTAGCCAACTCACATGATTTTTCCTTTTTTTTATTATATTATGATTTTCTATCAAGTCATTTTCTTCTGTCTTTTTTTTTTTCTTTTTTTTCAGTAAAACCTAGTATTTTGTTTTTGCCTGGACCTTTGGGCCTTCTCTAAATTATGCAGATTACAGCCTGGAATTCTTCCTGGGTGCGACTCTTTTACAGTGAGAGGATTGGGCTAGGTCTTTATTATTTCACCCAACAAGCCTGCCTAACAGGCTGCTGACTATGGAGACAAGAGGTGGTAAGCAAAGAATACTTTGATTTTATAGACTGACAGTGAAACTTTATTGAGGTTACAAAGTTTGAATATATATAATCAGCAGACTGGGAATGGGGGACAAATCATCAAGGTTTGATTCTTTTGTAAGGACCGAAGCAATCTGTTTCGTTGTTACATAATGAAGCTTTTCTGGGATTTTCATGATTCAGCCCAAACTACTAAAAAAATGGGTAAGCTTAGAGCATTTTTGGGCGAAGCGCAGAGGTATTCTGAAATTAATATTCAAGGCTTCATTGAAGAAGTTACTGCTCAATGTAGATAGTGCCTGATTTTCACATGAAATATGTATAAACCTGTTTTTACATAGTACTTTTATTTCATTACCTGTATGATACAAAGGAAACAACTCAAATTTTCTTTTGCAAACAACCCATGTAATTGATAATCACAAGCTTTTGTATGAAGTATATTTGTGGTTTTACAGATATAATGGAGGAACCATGAAGAGAGATGTTACCTCCTTTATTAGGTTTGTAGCAGCCATAGGGAATTTACAAATCTATGGACACGACCAGTGGGGAGTCACCCTTCTCAACAACAAAAGTTTTTGAAACCTTCTTGGAAGCAGTAACGACCTCCACAACATATGTCCCATGAAAACCTCTAAATTCAAATTGTCCTTGTCCATCTATTTGTCCGCGAGCATGAGACAACCACTCATGTTTAAGAGCAAGAAATCTCTTACCAGTTTCATTGATGTCACCCTCTGCATTGACCAAATGTGCATTGTCCCGGCTCATGAACAATTCCCAAAATCCCCACAACATTACACCCTCCACAGCAGGATGGGCAAAAGCTTCTCTAAGCATAACTTCCAAATCCTCCCCTCTAACGTGTTCATTGACAGAAGACACATCAAGCTCTGTAAACCAGATTGGAAGACCAAGAATGCCTAATTTATCCAGAGCAGAACAAACAACTGGTCCCACTGGATTATCGATATGTCCTTGAATTCCTATTCCTCCAACAGGTGCACCTTGCTCCTGTAAATCAAGAATGTGTTCAATATACTTTTCGGGACATGATCTAGTGTCACATCCATCTTCAACATGATAATCATTCACAAATAAGGTGGCAGATGGATCTAGCTGATTTGCAGTCTTAAACATGGTTGCTCGGATATCTTTGCCCAATCGGTCTTGATAAAATGATCCATGCAACATCTCATTGTTCACATCATAATGTATGAACTTACCCTTATAACGGGTGAGAAGGCCTGTTAGATGATTTTGAACAGCCATCATTAAGTCATTTTTGTTCAATGCTTGAATCCACTGCTGGACCGTGTCCTGTACTTCCCAGAAAATACAATGACCTCGGGTTTCAATTTTGTGGTTTTGACACAAAGCCAACATAGCATCAGCATCTTTGTAGTTGAAATTTCCTTGTTGTGGTTCTGTCCAATACCACTTCAATTCATTTCCAAACACTGCCCAGTTGAAATTTTTCACAAAGAAATCAACAAAATCTTCATTGTCGATATTTGTTCTGTTAATGCAAGACCCTATAGGGAAACTATTTTGTGTTTGTACAACTTTCACAGAGGTGCCCAGCAAACTGCTTGAACTGGCTCCTGAGAATTTGAGGATGACATCACGCTTTCGGATCTGTATTTGAACCAAATAAAAATCATTACAAGTTAGAGTGAGCTAGAACTAGGAATACTCCAAACTTAAAAGGACCCCAATATTTGAAGGGAAACATCCCATCCAATTAACCGAAGAGAGAAACCAACCAAATTATTTTTTCCTCTGTTTTATCAGTACTAAATAATTCAAAATGCACACACTGATAAGGGCCCTATTGTCCTAATTATATCAAGCTAGACAAGTTTGTTGATGCTTATAATAATGTTAAGAAACTGAGGAAAAGAAAAAAAAAAAGAATTTCAGTAAATCAAATTCCAGAGAAATCGGTGAAATAGAGAATTTATAACCGGAAATTTCTAATGGTCCAAAGAAAAGCAGGAAAAAAGAAACTTGTGTCCACATTTTATTCTAGGGCTAAATGTAGCCTATGCTGTTGGAGGGAAAATATTTGCCGTTTCCATCTGTAATTTTCTTACCTTTCCATGATAAAAGGCAACAAATTCCCTACTTATATAGGGTTACAAAATTTTCAATTTCCATTTTTTTGGTTTAAAGTTATAGATTATAATGTCTGCATAGTTTTGATAAAGCAAATATTACACAAATCAAAACTAGATATTACCTTATCAGTTTGCATCCTCAATTGTTTAAACCTAGCCTTCCGATCAACAGGAAAAATCTGAAGTCCAGCAACCATTAAATCAACACCTGCAGCTGGACCCTGGATATAAACCATAACCTTGGATGGTTGCTTCTCAATTCTAAAGGAACCTCCAATTTCATGCCATCTATCGTCATTAATCTCAACTTGTCCACCATTGACCCACTGGCTGTCCACACCAAGTGCAACATTCACATTTTGAGGACCACTTGCTCCAGAACCAATTCGAACCCAAGCAGATACTTGGTATGTCAAGAAAAGTTTCAACTTATCAGTGATCATCTGAGCTGGGCCCATCCAAGTTTGTGTGCGATTTTTCACAAGGATATAGCGGCCACTAAAAGGTTCACGGACGCCAAGGGAAGCCCTTGCCATTGGAGGGAGTATATGAGGTGAGCCTGATCCAACACTGAAATTGCAGTTTCCAAGAGGAAACCATCCATTGGTGCCATCATTTAGTTGGCTGTTTGTAATTATATTAACTCCAAAATCAGGATTCTAGAAAAAGTAAAAACACATTAGGAAACCATCCCTTAGTTAGTTATTGTAACTAAATTGACTCTAAAATGTGCAAGTATGTATCAATTAAGGTTTAACTGTAGGAAACCATGCAGCAAATCCAAGCATCCAATATCTTCTCTAAAGCAAATGAAAACAATACCAAATTCCAAATTGAAATTATGCAACTCACCTCAATAACTGGCGGAGGTGAAGGAGGGATTTTCTCAGCATGCTTTACAACTATTACATTGACAAGAATGTCAGTGCCTGGAGGTGGACCTTCTAAATAGATGACTACTCTTGATGGCGAACCATTTAGAAGGAACTTTCCTTGCAATTGCACCCAATCTTTGTCGGTTGCCTGCACACTTTTAGATGAAAAAAAAAAAGAACCCCAACACCACAGGTAAATATTAACTCTCCATAAGCCCAACAAAGCCAGGGAAAACCAATGTGTAAAGGTTCAGAGACTCCACAAGAAAAAACACTAGTTCTAAGGACAGTTAAAGAAATAAAGAACTTACTTGGCAATTCCAACGTACTGTTCACGGCCATCTGGTGTTTGGACCCATAATGTGGCTTGTACAGTAGCAGTTGTGACATTATTACCAAATATCCGTACAACAGCTGCTACATTATAAGCAAGCTTTCGCTGCACTCTTCCAGTGATCTCCTGCTGGATTCCATTCCAGCTCTGTGTGCGCTCTGTCGCAGATGCAAAAACTTTGCCAGATTGTGGAACTATCTTCCCATCTGCCATAGAATCATGTAAAACAACCTTGCAGCCTCTTCCAGACCAGTTATTGAGGCCATCTTCAAATTGAGGGTTTATGACGATGTTCTCATCTCCAGCAATGTTGCATCCTATGCTTGTACTCTTCCAAAATAAAGAGGATGCCAAAATATCAAAATAACCAGTGTAAGACTACAGAAAAAGTGCCCTCTTTCTTTCTTTTTGTTTTTCCCCTTGGCAGGAAGAGGATGAAGTCAAAACGATATATTAAACAAATCTCTTTGACATGCTGAAAAGGAACATAGTATAATATTTAGTTAGGGAATGGATATGGTGCTGCAAATGCAATTTACCTCAGACTTGCTTAAACTGGAGCAGCTAATAACCACTGAATCTATAAGCAGCTCAATACCAGGAGAAGGCCCTTCTAAATAAAATACAAGCCGTTCAGGCATGGTTGATAATGAGAATGTACCTTCCACAATTTCCCATTTCTCCTTTGACACAGAGGTTCTGCAGTGACAAATGTCATTTAACAAAAACTTCCTCATTAAGTCTTATATACAATGTAATGCAATGAAAACAAGACCATTACTTTCCAATGAACAGATAGCTAGTCGCTGAGCCATGGTTTTCTAGCTTCAAAGTTGCCAGGACATCTGTAGACCCTGAAAGAGGCCCAGATACTCCAACACAAGCAGAAACTGAGTATGTAGAACCTGGTGAAACTCTTCCTGTGATATCGTGCTCCAGACCGTGCCAGCATTCCTTGCGATTTGTAACAACCGCATAATTACCACCTGAATTTGCTGGCATTCCACCTGGGTTACCAGACCCAGCAGATACTACAAAGCCATTGCAGCAATTGGGATGCCAAGAATGTAGTCCATTGGAAAAGTCATGATTTACTATGATATTAGCAGCTGGATTGCCACTTGAACTGATGATCTTTTGGTTCAAGTTCTGCCAGGAAAAGAAGCAGACATAGAAGTTATATTGGTTAAGCCTAAAACAGTAATTATCAAGAAAGGGAAAATGATCTTTTGGTTCAAGTTCATCCAGGAAAAGAAGCAGACATAGAAGTTATATTGGTTAAGCCTAAAGCAGTAATTATCAAGAAAGGGAAATTGATAAAATTATTCACTAAAAGAATATAACACAACTATATAAGCTGAACTTAGAAGTTAGAAGATGAAAGTACCTCAAGCACAAAATCAACCACCTAACACTCATTTTCTTTTTCACCATTTAATAATTAATTGTTCATCACTGTTAGACACACAGATTTTATATGACCTTAAACAGTTCATAACACAAAACGACCTCCAACTCCAATTAAACAAAAGAAATGTACATCCCAAAACATGTAATACTATCTTATATTAACAATAAAATTTAAAGTTGTTGATATTAAACTATAAAACAAGTAGAAGGAAGAATCATCCCAAAAAAAAAGAAGAGGAGGAAGGTTAGAGGAAGGGTTAAAGAGAAACAACCAAAATTAAGGGGAATAATGCGAAAATAGATACTCATTAGCCAAAAACAAAGGAACAAAAGACACCCTATGCGGTGGGAAATATAATTAAATATTCTAAAAGGTGAAACGCTCAAACCTCAGGGTTGCCATTGTCAGATTTCATCTGTGGGTTCTCCATAGTTTCTTCAGATCTCTAACAACAACACCAAAAAAGAAAAGAGAAAACAATCAACAGAAAAAACAGAGAACAAAAAGAAAACGAAACGGCAATCAAATAAAACATTGTAAATTTCTCACGTTTTCGTGAGGAAATAAAGCAGAAGGTTAACAAGAAAACCTGAGGATGATGCTTATGCTGTCGAGTTGTGCAGCAGCAAAGAGAGAGCCTCCTCATTTATAAGGTGCAGGTGAACCCTTTGTCGGGAGAGCTTCGAAAGTGGAGTGTAAGAAAAGCGCGGGACCTAACAGTCTAAAAGAGCCCGATAATAGTCCGACCCACTTCGGTTTTGTCGGGGTTTAATCCAAACAGTACGATCTCTTACCTTCTAATTCTCAATAAACCCCTTTTTTTGTCCTGTTTCTTGGTTTTTTTTTTTTGCTCATTTTCTATGAGAAAAATTGGTTTTCTAATAGGGATTTTATTTGCCATTGCTTTGTCTTGGAGACTGGTTTAACCTCACAATTTGCATTTGTATGCTTGAATTGGAATAGAAGGTTTAAGTGGTGGGAAATGCTCTGTTCTGTTCACTGATTTAATGTGCATTCTTAGAGCTTGTTTTGTGAGTCTTTGATTACAAGGCAGACAGGTTTTTTTTTTTTTTTTCATACTTGCAAAATTAGGTGGGGATAGGCTTTCACTGACTTTACAGCTTTAATAATTTTAAATATTCTCCAGTAATTTCATTTCAAACCATTTACTATTCCATTCTGTATTTAAAAAAAAAATGCAACATGAATTAGTATTTTAAAATATAAAAAAATAAAAATATTAAATATTAAAAAAATAACACATAATTTTAAGATATTAAAAAAAATTTTGAGGCAAAGAGAGTACATCCTTAAAGTTGCTTTAAAGGAAAAAATTCAAACAAAATTCGAGAACACACCTAACCGATGCAATCATAGTTCATAGGATTTAGGAATGAGTAGATAATGAACTTTGAGGATTGCGTGTTCCCTGGAACAAAGAACCATCTTATGATGGCCTCCTTGACCTTTAATGCCTTTTTAACCAAGTTAGGATAATCACTGAAAACGTATTTGCCTTCCTAAATGACGGCAGCCTCCTAGAATAACTTTGAGGTTTCAAACCACAGATGTTCGAGAATCAATATTCCTATGTCAAGATGTCAATACGAAGATTCTTCTCTCTGCAGATTAATATATCTTTATTTAGTAAACAGGGGATGAAGGTAGCTAGGATTATGAGCCTTGAGACTAGTCCAAGAAACTATTGGTCAATGTAAATGGCCAAAGTTAACTCTCCCTTCTCAACAACAAATGTCCTGTTAATTTTCCTGGTAGAGGAATTTATTTCTATGTTGTTTGTTCCATAGAAGCCTCGGAATCTAATTTCACCTCGCACATCAATATAACCACGAGCATGAAACAACCATTCTTTCTTAAGAGCAAGATACTCTTACCAGCAGCATTGATCTTACCTTCTGCATTTTCCAGGGACATGTTCACATAGCATTACTTTCAAATCATTAGCTCTAACGCATTCATTGATGGAAGACACATCAAGTTCCGTAAACCAGATTGGAAACCAAGAGTACCCAATTTATCCAGGGTAGAACTAACCTTAAACCCAATATCCAGAGATAGTTATTAAAGAATGTTGAAACTGAGTCAGGAGAAGAGCAGAGAGTTATGGAATATAGGATTAAAATCTTGGTGAAGTTTTAATCAAATAATTTCTGCTTTTCCGTTTAACAACTTCTCTGTTTCCATTGTTAGAGAATAGAGAGCACAGCCCGTGGTGACCGGCAAGTGACATTACTTTGTAGGCTTACAGCACTTGGTGGGCTTTTGCAGTTCTCGTCTTGGGACTGGGAACATTTTCTAAGCCAGATGGGCTGGGGAAATTTAAGTATAGCTTTTTTTTTTTTTTTTTTATAATTAATGGAATTTACGGAGATTAAGAAATGCTAAAGTGTTCAAACAAAATTTTAAAATTAATTGATAATATATAAAATAGTTTTTTGTATATTCAAAATATCCAACAAACCTACAACATAATGTATGAATTATAGGAATAATAATGTCGAACAAGGACATGTCTTTGATATTATATTAAAATTTATGATGAACATTTTATCTAAAATTAATTTATAATAAATAAAAATAGAATGATCGTTGTATTTCAATTTAATTTATGAAATTTAATTTTATCATTTTTTAATATAACATTCAATTACTAAAAAATATCATGAAAGTATTATTTAGTTTCTTGTCATACATTTAATCTTTGACAATAACATTGCCAATAAACTTATGAAAAGAGGAAAAGACTAGAGAGAAAGCTCCTCATCTATGTTGATCATTTTTGAAGAGTCTTGCTCCTACCATTGACCAAAACAAAGAAAAAACTTTTAGAGTATTTTCTAGATATCTTGAATTAGGAAGCATAGACTTGGACCATATAAATTTCACATGTTATCTAGAACATTAATCTATGTTTTTTTTTTCTTAATATTAGTATTTCTTAGCCTTTTGTATGTATATATTAAATATTTATTTTTTTCAATCGGTACAACTTAAGTTCTAGAAAAAAGTATTATAAAGTCCTATGAACAAAACAAAGAATCACTCAAACCACCCAATACCAAACTTACCACGTATTAAATTAGTTACTATCATCTAAAAATCTATAATGATAATGTTATATGTACATTTTTTTTAATTTCTTTTGCCTTCTAAATATATATTTTTAAACTCATTTCTTTAAATAAGAATATATAACCTATGATTTATCATTGAAACAAATACTCAAATAATATCTCAATAATTAATGAAAGATTGGAAGTCAACCTACCAGTTCTAGATATAACATCTTAGAGTGCTAGTGGTAAGAATTTATAACATGAAGAACATGACAATTAAATTAAGGAAAGGTTAAGTAATGCCTATTAGCACTTATTAGGGTGACATTCTAAAAAATGTGCAATTAATATTTCAAAATGATTTTTTAATTTAATAAAAATAGTAATTTATATGCAAAAATTTTATTAAAATATTAATTAAATAAATTTTAACCAATGCTTATAATAAAAATGGCAAAATAGATAAACGGTCCATGGTATAACATGACCCTTATCATAATATTGAGCTGGACTAAGATTTTTACCCATGAATTGGCGCAATACAATCATGATGAGCCACAGCCTAGGATGTGGCAATAGCCTAACACGATACAATTTATATTTTCATTTGATTTTCTCCAATTATAACTTTAACTTTTTTAAAAAAAATTGACTCATGAATAATAATTAATAAGTAATAAATTTATTTTTTTAATATAATATTATCATTTAGTATTGGATTTGCTTATTCAAATGGTTAGCAGCAGCCGAAAAAAAAAATTGCGTTACCCCAATGCCCCATCATAAAAAATATTATTTACAAATATAGTAATAATACTATAAAATTTAAAATAGATGTCATAATTTTTATATAATTTTGAAAAGCGCGGTTCAGTATACAATTAAATAATCACCCAACCATCCTTTTGGAAAATAGATAAGCCGCCTTAGAAGAAACAGCTTGAAAATTGAAACACAAACCCGAGGAATTAACGTGTTAATTTCTGTATCTTTCTGGAACCATGACGCACAGAATTATTTACTAGTAACTTTAAATCCCAGTTTTACACTCGGTCAACCACCCAAACGAATCTAATCATCCCGTAATTAAACACAAAAATCTAGGGTTTATTAAAAACAAGGGTGGGGACCCGCGGCCCCGTTTAGCCAACAAACCCGTAACTATTAATACCGCTCTCACCTACGCCTTGCCCGTTGTCCCCTTCAAAACCCTCGCAGAGAATTTTGACTTCCTGCTTTTTTTCTCATCAACGAAATCTGCATTAACGACGAAAATCTCGGTGAAGAAAATACTTAGATTTTTTATTTTGTTTTTCTCTGTTAGTCTGTTTTTAGCTTTAATGGAGGAGATGGAGGGAGAAAGAGTGCGAGAGAAGGACGTTGACAATGCAGAAGAGATCAAGGATGAAAATAATAATAATACTAACAAGATAATGAAGCTGAAGAAGACGAAGAAGCAGCAGAAGAAGAAGAATAAGAGAAAAGCATCGAGTTTGGCGAGATTTGGATGCTTGAGAATGGAATCTGATGAGAATGGTGGTGTCGATATGGAAGTCGAGTTTCCGGGAGAGCGTAACCAACCTACTCATCTTGTTGTACTGGTTAATGGCATCATTGGCAGGTTAATCTCGGTAAATTTTTTTAATTATTTATTTTGCGGTTGAAATTCCTTGATTTATTTTTGAATTGATATTTTTGCAGTGCTCAGAATTGGAGATTTACAGCAAAGCAGTTTTTGAAGAAGTATCCGGAAGATGTTATTGCTCATTGTGAGTTCTCCGATACTCTGCTTTCTTTCTTTCTTTGTTTCTTTTTTTTTTTTTTAATTTGATTTTAATCTGTAATTAGGCTAAATACTGATCAATTTGAACTTAATTATTTTGATTATCTCACTTTTATTCTTTTAAAAAAATTATTTTTCTGGTATGTTTCATGATTCTTCTTCTTCTTCTTCTTCAATGCAAAGTAATTTAGAGTCTCAGACTAACTAGCAGCTGGAGGTAAATTTGAATTAATTTAACCAAGGGTTTACTGTTTACACTTTAGATCTATCAGAAGTTTTTATAGATCAGTCTCACTAATCCAGAAGATTCAAATTCTGTAAATTTTGTTGGTTCATTAAACTGTGTCATTTCCATATTTAAAATTTTGATGGGTGATAGCCGTCCTAATTAGATGAATACTTGTGATAATTGATATTGTTGATTCATGATGAAATGATTACTGAATGGTTAATGACTTAATGTGCAATGCAGGCAGTGAGCGCAATTCTTCAATGTCGACATTTGATGGTGTCGATGTAATGGGCGACAGATTAGCAGAGGAGGTATATGCTATGATTTTTTTATGTTCAAAAATATCGTCTATACTCCTTTATTATTATTATTAATTCAGATTTGAGGATGCGATGCCAATAGGAGAATGTTGTTGTGTCTTTCAGGTTAAATATGTCATAAGCCGTCACCCAAGTGTTCAGAAGATTTCTTTTGTTGGTCATTCATTAGGTGGCCTTGTAGCAAGGTACGCCATTGCACGGCTTTATGAACAAGATCTCACTCGAGAAAATTCTCAAACAAATGGAGATTGTGGAACTGATCATTTGGGAGATTCGTGCCCCGAAGGGAAATTCAAAGGCAAAATTGCCGGATTAGAACCCATGAATTTCATAACTTTTGCAAGTCCACACCTTGGTTCTCGGTGGCATAAACAGGTAGTTCATTCACCAGCTTCTTTACATATGATGAGTGATGCTTTGAAAATCTTATATAGTTTTCCTTTGCATCCTATTTGATGATTAAATGCTTTTTTTTTTTTTAAGTTAAAACTTAAAAAGCCTTCTTCAAATATGTCTGATGTAAGAGACTGCTAATTCATCATAGGTGATATTGAAACTGAGTAATAAATAGGGATGTCAATCTTGTCTAATAAGGTGGAGAATTTAATTTTTTATTTTAATGAAAATGGAATGAATATTAAATTTTGGGATAAGACAAAAAAATGTATGATTTTAAATTTTTTATCAAATATAAATACGGAAATGGGTAATGTAGCACCCACTTTGTATTCATATCTTATCTGTATTTATATATATTTAATAAATTAATTTTTTATTTAATAATATAAAATTTATTTTAAATTAATTATAACTAATATATTTGTATTAAAAATATATATTTATAAAAATTAATACATGTGCAAGATAAAAATAAAAAAAATAAAGCAAATAAATTTTATTTTTAATTTTTTTAAAAGCTACTGGTACCAAAATTACTTATACTAATTAAAAACTCAAAAGAATAAAAATGAAAATGAATTTAAAATATTTATTGAATATGAATACAAAGATTAATATAATACAAAAAATAAAAAATTGAGATAAAAAATGTTTTAACCACCTCATACATTATCCGTTTACGTTCACAGTGATAAAACGTTGAAGAAAACATACATGTTTGCACATTAGAGGTTGGTAATATTTTCCTTTTGGTGATTGTGCATTATTCAGGTTCCATTGTTCCGAGGCTCCCGTGCACTGGAAAAAGTTGCCGCTCGCACATCATGGCTTCTTGGTAGAACTGGAAAACATCTGTTTTTGACTGATGGAAAGAATGGAAAACCTCCTCTTCTTCTCCGTATGGTCAGTGATTGTGAAGATCTTAAATTTATGTGAGTTTTCATGAGCTTTCCAGAATTAGTTTAAACCGTGTGAGAGCATATGGTCAATTACAGACTTATAGATGTATCTTTGCTTCAAAATGCAGGTCTGCTCTGCAGTCCTTCAGGCGTCGTGTTCTGTATGCAAATGCTAGTTTCGACCGTATCCTTTATTATATCAGTTGATTTTGTAGTTATGCTTTATCCATGGATACTAATTCTTCAAGGAAGATTTAGTCGTGGATCTAACTGTTTTAGGCACAAGGACAAGACTTATTCCACATTCAAATTGTTCTGACTGTTTCAGACCTTGACACCTTTCTTAGATATTGTTGGGTGGAGTACTTCTTCCTTACGGCGTCGAAATGAGCTTCCAAAGGTAACGATGAATCATTTTTTTAGGTTAATTAAATTACAAGCTAAAGCTAACGTCAATGTGAATTTCTCCCCCAATCAGATTAAACAGCTTCCCAGAGGTGACAAATACCCACACGTCATAAATATGGAGACAGCAAAAACTGCTACTCTTGATGAAGTCCTTTCTGAGGCCACAATCAATGGAGATGAGAAGATAAACGTGGAAGGTTTGCTTCTTAATTTTATCTTTTAAAATTAGTTATAAAATCACTTTCTACCAAAATCTTTTGAAGATCTTCTTAAACTTCATGTCCTTTGTTATTTGGGTTGTTGGCATCATTTTACTTCACTGGAATTGGTTTGTAATATTGTCATAATAATTATGTAGAGCTCTATTAGATGTAAAAAGAGATTAAACAACAGCATAAAGAGCAACGCGCCTTTTCCCAATTTCACTCGGTAATGTATATGGAATAGAAAAGCAATGAGGTAGGATGGCATTAACTTTAAGTCAATAAACAATTGGATTCGAATAACTTTTATCTTGTATTAGTAAATGTTTTCCTTGAATCTATAAGGCTGTTTATTCATTTTGAATTTGGATTAGAATACTTAATTATGATTTGATATCGTCAAAAAATTTATAATAGCTTATAATCTCAGTTAAAAACAGGCTGAAAGGCATGATATGTTTTAGTTATGGCCTTATGTTTCAGGAAGTTCTACAAATGTAAAATCCAAAGTTGTCTAGAGTAGTTGAAGATGATTAAATGGTGAAAGTGATTTTTTTGAGGGTCATTGACAATGATACTATTTAGCATTTGCTTTCCTCCTCGGTAATGGATAACCTATAATTTCTAAATTGTCAAACATATGAATCTGTGTTTTCTTATAAGCTAATTGAAAAGCCAAGCTGGAAGAAGGAGAAGAAGAAGAAGAAGTATTTCTTTTTCCTTGATTTGGTTGTTTGTTAATCATTGGGCATAGAAACATTGTGTAAATGAAGAGGGGATGAAATTGTCAAAGCATTTCTGATCTACCTTTAGTTACTTCTAATTTTCTCAACTTGGCATTTTTTGTTGGAAGCTACAAAATCACTAATCCATTACATATTTAAAGCTACAAGTTGAGGATAGTAGTTGAATAACTAGTTTTTGTCAATTGGAGTCAAATTTAACTCTATTTTTTTATCACTATTGCAGAGGAAATGATCAAGGGTTTAACAAAACTGAGCTGGGAAAGGGTTGATGTTTACTTCAAAGGAAGCAGACAAAGAATTCTCGCACATAGTACCATTCAGGCAAGTTTACTCATTGGTTTGGATGTAGAATAAGATGAGCTTAATGCTTTCCAAACCTCTTCACTCTTTCTTTCTACCATGCAAATATTCTGCATTCAAGGGTTAGTTATCTCTCCGACAGATGTTGCGTAACTAAGTGGAACTATTTTATCACCATATCCTTTCAGGTGAAAAACTACTGGGTTAATTCTGATGGTGCTGATGTAGTCCAACACATGATTGACAATTTTCTATTATAAGAGGTGCCGCTTTGTTGTTTATTACTATATTTAAATTGCCAAATGGCTTTATGGTCCAATGGCATTGAAGAGGGTTTAAAAGGGGTGGTTGCCGTTAATGCAGAAGGTGGAGTCTTATATGTCGTTATCAAAAGCGTGAAGAGATTAGTCCCTCTGTAAAGGAAGGTATTAGAACATTTTCATGTAAATTTATATTGTATATTTAATAATCGTAGGTGACCTAAATGTGTGCCAAATGCTGGATTACTTGCTATTAATGTGCGCCCTTCAGCGTTTCAACCTGCTTTATTTTCAGTCCAGAAGTAAAATGGCAGCATCGTTCCAAAGATTGTAACAGCTTACAGCTTGGCAGCAAGCAACTCCACGTAAGTGGACGTTGGATTGCAGTTGGTGATCTAGATTTAGTAGGATTTAGATTATCTGTGGCGTCTTGTCGGTCCCAGCCCTGCTCTCTCTCTTTCTCTCTGTTCCTTTGTGTTGGCCACTATGTTGAAGCTGGACTTTGGCCCATTCTACTGCTGCTGTAATGCCCGTAAATAGTAATGCTGCTGTAACTATAATCAATAATGGAGAAGGTATCAGCATCAGAATTCAGAAGTAAAATAAGTAATGAAATTTAAAAGCGATTAGAAAATTTCTAGTTTCTCGTGCAATTCCGCAGAATTTTAGTTTTTTTGGAGTAATAATCTTACGGAGTTTGGTCCATTTTGAAAATTTACGAATGATCAATAGATGCTTAATTGATGTTCTTTTTATATCATAAACGTGGATTTCTGAAAAAACCTATGATTTCTGGATACTGAGCTGAATTTCTTTTCGACAACATTGAAATCACTAAATGTAAAGGGTAATTTATAGTATTATTATATCTTAAAAATTCGCAGTTAGCAGGATTGCAGAATATATACAGGGTTCTCTGTTAAGGATAAGACTCTCATTCCCAAAAGCGCGTAAGCTTGCAGGTGAAATGTTTAACTCCCAAACAACCAAGAAAATTGCTGTTTGTTCCTATAAAAGAGTATATGATGAAGCAAACGCCATAGTCTATTGTCTTACATACCATCTCGAAAATAGTATCTTCCTTGGGAAATAGTAATACAAATACTATTCCCAAGTGATAGTGAAAGGAGGGATTTGGCGTGTTGGAGTGAAAGTGGTCAAGACTCACGCACGAGTCACCGACTGTGTCCACGAGCCAAAACCCGAAACCGAGCCCCTCCCTCAAAAGGAACGTAAACGTTGGGGGGGGGGGGGGGGGGCAAATTGAGAGGAGAAAATGAGGAAGGAAAAGGAAATCCCAGAGAAACTCGTCCAACCTGTGACATTACATAAACCCCTTTTGTAGAAAACTCTCTATCATTTGTTATTTGTGTGATCTTTTTTGTTACTGCTTTTTGTTTTCATTCTTATTCTTTTCCTTTGGCTGGCTGTGCAGCTGTCCACCCTTTTTGCTTTTCTACCTCCTCTCTGCTACCACAGTTGTTTTCATTTCTATTTTCCTCTTTTTCTTATGGTAAAGTGCCTTGGTTTTTTGGTGGCTCATGAAACGAGGCTGAGGTCCTTCCCTTTTCGGTTGAGGTCCTCCCCATTTGCTTTTAGCCTCGTTGCAGTGCTCTTTCTGCCTTCCACGTTCGATCCTTGATTCAGATTTTCAGAGATATTACAATGTAAAAAACAGACTCATCTTTTTTTTGCATTGTGGAGGTGGCATTCAAGTAGTGGAAAACTCTCCTTGGTCTACACTACCAACCACATTTAATTTCCCTGCTTGGTCCTATTAATTTACTTCTCTGATATCCCATCTTGTATCTCACCTCTTTTTTAAGGTTTTGAACTCCCACCCCTTCTCTCTTTGAGAAAAATGAGCATCTCTGCAAATTGTGTTTGCTGCCACAGAAATAGACACCTTCTAGTTTCGTTGCTGTTTCTTCTGGTTTCAAGCTTGACTCACGTTAGATTCATGGCTGCAGAAGGTAAGTTTCTTTCCTTGTCTAAATTTCAAAAAGAATATCTCCAAATTGAAAATTGAAAGCCTAATCATTGACTTAATATTCACCCTCTTTCGTGTATTCCAGCAAGGTCCTTTTCCAGGTTACTCGAGGTTGATCAGGTATCAGGATCATAGTTCCATTTCAAGTATAATCTTGCTTCTTTCTTTACATCCAAACAGCAGTGACAGATTTGAATAATGTTGTTTGAACAGAAAGGAATTGAAGAGGAGAAGAAGACAATGGTGATGACAAGTCTGATAGGGTCAAGACCACCAAGGTGCGAGAGAAGGTGCGGTTCCTGCCCACACTGTGAGGCAATTCAAGTTCCTATCACAACACAATCCCATAACCGCAGAACCCGCCAATTCTCAGCTGCAATATTCACAATTCCTTACTCTAGAGGTGATGACATCTCCAACTACAAGCCCATTAGCTGGAAGTGCAAGTGTGGAAACCTGATTTTCAATCCTTGATTGAAAGTAAAAATAAAACATGTTGTGTGTAAAAACACCCTCCTTTTCAACTGTGGATAAAATGACTTCAATTCTATACCTTTTGTCGTTTCCACTCTCCTCTCTTGCAAGGTATAGATATGGCTTTGTCCACAATTTGTTTTCTTGAGTTACACTTAAGCAGCAACAGATTCTAAGATACCTTAACTCGAAATTCTTCAATTAGTATTTTGTTTTTAATATTTTTTCGGGGGGTGAGGTGAGATTTGTTAATTCTGATGGCAAGTGACGACATGGGTAGTTTAAAAGAGATAAAGATGGGTGCGTATCAAGTCTGTCAGACAGTTCTGCTTTCGTGTCTTGCAATATTTGTGCACTACACTCCAGACTCCAGAGAGAAAGCTAAGACCCTGTTCTGTTGCATTTTAGACAGCCTGCCTCGAAGGGATCAATGCTGTTAGGCACAAAAGCCTCCAACTAAATATTCGTATAGTAAAATCAAATATTTAATTAATTATGCAGCAAAGAATTTTTTAATATAATTTGATTTAATTTATTTATATTTATGAATGAAAAAAAAATTTAGTTATAAATAATTATAAATATACAATTAAATTAATTATTTATAATTAATATTTATAAATTTTTTAATCTCTTTTAATTTTATTAAATGTTTTCAATCCAAATAAATATATATCTATATATATTCATATATCATATTTATATGAATTTTTTTAGTCTTTTTGTAGTTCATTCAATCTTAATCTTCTTTAATTAACTCACACATATTTAAATATGTACACTTATAATATGTAAATTTTTAATAATTTTGTAAGGTATTTATATTATAAAACTCTATAATTTTTAAAAATTTTTTATATATAATTTATAGAGATTTTACTTATTTATAAGTATATAAACTTACTTATTAAAAAAAATTTTCTTAAAATTTTTTTTTATAAATTTTTTTATTCATCAAATAATATCTAATTAATATCAAATAAATTTTTTATAAGATTTGAATTACTATTCATGTCAAATATCTCACCATGAAAAATATCAGTTTAACCGTGATGCTAACAATAAATGAACGAGAGAATCTGCCTGTAATTCTTTCCAAAACCGGAAAATTGTATTTTTGTGAAAAAAAATTTAAATTTAAATTTAAATGCATCAATTTAACGGAAAAAAAAAAAGTAATATGAATGATGTGACAAGTCTTAATGCTTGTTCATATATTTGGAATATAACAATGGATTTTGCTAACAAGACCACTAAGCATCCACGTTTAGATTGTGTGATCCAATCCGAAAATCGACGGCTTAAGCAAATTATGTAATTCTTATTGATCCTAGGTCAAAAAAAGATAATTAACAGCTAATTGTTTAGTGATAAAGAGATTTTTTATTATTATTTGTATTCAAATTTATTAAGAAATATAGAAAGGTAATTTTTTTTTTAAGAATTTATTAGATTTGATATAAATAAATATTCTTTTTTTAAAATAATTGTTTTTTATTGACTTTTTTTGTCAAAATAATTTTATTTTGACTTTATTTTTTGAAATATAATATTAAATTAAAATTTTAAAAAGAATATGTTTTAAAAGATTTAAAACTCAAAATTTACAAATTTTATTTTTAAAAATTATTTTTATTTTATTATTTTATTACAAATAATGGTTAAAGTTGAGTTAATTTGACAAAAAAATAAAAAAGAAATAATAATTCTGGAACAAGAAAATAATATTTTATAAATTTACTAAACTCTACGTAAATAAATTTATTTGAATAAGTATGAAAACTTGAAAAAGAATATAGTGAGTATGGCTTAAAAACTCTTCGCTCTTAATAAAAAAAAAAAAAAAGAAATTAATGTTGAAATTGAAGCTAAAAGTGGATGAAAATAATCTTCACGTGCTGTAAAGTTGATGAAAAAGGTATTGTCAGATATACGAAGAATAAAAAATATCTTTTGCAAAGATGCAGTTAAGTAAAAAGCAGTGGTCAATCTCCTTAAATCTTTATCTTAACCCCATGAGGCTCTAATTTGCTGATGAAAATTTGCCTGCAATATCAAAAATAAAGAGTTTCATTCCAATGTATGGACCATGCTTTTCTCTGAAGCTGATCTCACCTAAATAATTGAACTGGCACTGTTATATCTTATTGTAGAAATAACAGTTTTAAAAAAAATGTATAAAAAAGTGTGAGAGCTGGTGGATTGTCTGTTTCCTTCCTCGTCAAAGAGGATCGAAAAACATTAAATAAAGCATTGAATATGGGCCTGAAAAAGATTGCAGAAGAGATTAGTGATGGAAGTGAAGGACTCATCATCATCTTCATTCATCAACTGCCGACCCTTTCAACCCTTCTTTTGCAAATCAAAACCATGGATGGGATGTAATTTTTTTTTTTTATGTTGGTTTGTGGGGTTGACTCCTTTTCTTTTTCACTCTTTGCCTTCTCCTTCTGCTTTAACATTTGCTTATTAGAGGTGACTGGTGACAATACCTAAGCTGAGACTTGATGTTGTGATTAGAAAATTTTATCAAAAATTATAAAATAAATAAATAAACCCACATGTTTAATATATGAGTTGATAGCTGACGCCACCAATCAAGCAGCAATAAATTTCCCATAAAAAATTATATCCACAGACTCATGATGTATTTGTAATTCAATCAATCTTCAAACAATATGCGAACAGTTTAAAATGCTGTGATTTACCCTGGTTTGAAAAGAAGGGAAACAGCTCGTTTGCTAAAAAGAGAAGGAATTCAATAGATGGATTGAATTGGGTCAAATGTTATGCTTGGTAAAACCTTGGGAGGTAAAGTTCATACTTTGTTAAAAGTTTTCGCTGTTTCTACTTTTCTGATTCTGGTGGGTGTGGTACGTGGCAGTAGCCACCAGTGATTAGCAAAGGAGATTTCAGGGTTTCAGTTTGAAAAGGGCACCACTTTGCGTTGCATGTCCTTTCCCTGGAAGCGTGAGCTCTAATATCATTCGTCAATGGAAATATCAGAAAGGCCAGCAATGCAAAGAAAATTTTTACTATGATAAAGAGTGAGATCCACCTTTTCTTTCTGTACATTTGATACATTTGGTTAGGGTCATGGACAACAAGAAATCGATGTCTCAGCTCTTTGAGAAAGCTGCAACCTGCAAATACAATAATGAATTTTGAGGAACATGTAATGTTGTGTGCATGTGGATCCTGTTCCTCCATTTTCTTTTACTAAGTTTTAACATCATGTTTCTTTTAGAGATAACGATTTTCAGTCATGTTTTTCATTTACTTGTTCAAAGAATTGAAAGCTGGAGATGCTAAGAACAAAACAACTTGAACAGTCAGATTGATAGATTCATAATATTTTCACCCATGGAAGTAAAAAATAGAGCTGCTGAAAGGGATACCCCAAAGAGAGAACAATGCCAACTATCACATGGTAATAAATGACTGGGAATATTGTATTCTTCAAGAATGTTTGTTATGCAGAACATGCCCTGGATAGGAATTTGGAATGTGACACCAAGAAAACAACATCCACAATTTGGAGCATTCATGGCAGATAATTCTTAAACGAAGTCGTTTAAAAGCCGTGGTTATTAATGATATACAAAAACTTGTCATGAACCCCGCACTTGAAGCCAATGAATCAAACAATTGCCATCAAGTTGTAGCCCAGTGTATTGTACGCTGACAATTCACTGTTTTAGTGCTTTTCTCGCATTCATTTCTTAGCTCTCTATCTCGATATCCCGTTCTTCAAAGATAATCCCACAAGTTGTTTTGTTTTGATTTCATTTCATCTTTTTATGTCTATTCCATTGTGTCCACTACACCCTTCTTATCCTACCATTTCTTGGAGAAAGATTTGCTTCAGAAATATTAATTGCTGCTGTTTCTGCTGCTGCTAGTGAAAGTACAAACTTTCTTGGATATACGTGAATCCAAGATTCCAGATTATAAAAAGGGGTACTGTTTTTCTTGCTCAAGTTTCCATTTTTTATTACGGATCTGCCTTTTCAAGAGGGTATCTTTTCGTCTTCCTACCTTTTTCTCAGACCTGCTTTATGGCTTATGAGTTTCTGTCAGGATTTTTGTTTTATCAATGTCTTTTTGTTTCCTATGTTGTTGTTCTTTGTTAATTTCTTGAGCAAATTCTTAAATTCGAATGGATTTGTCTGGTTTTTAAGTTAAAAAAGATAAATGTTGGTGCAAAGTTAAATATCTATAGAGGACTTGTCAGAGATAAAAGGGTTAACCATGGTTTTTTTGTTACTGTTGTTTTCACTGTGGCCCATAGAGAAAAAGAAACGGAAAAAAGCACAAATTGCAACTGAAAAATTACTCTTTCAAAGCTGGTTTTTACTTCTTAGTTCAAAGCTGTCGTTCCTCTTTCCCATGTCTTTCATTCTAGCTGCAGCTCAATCTAGTCCATTAATGAACTGGCTGCTGTTATCAGTCTTCTGTGAAAGTATATTTCTGCAGGACTTTATCACATTGCAAGTGAACGTTTGACCTTTTCAAAGGATGGGATTCGAACCCATGCTATCAATTTATCAGCGATAATCAAATCCTAGCCTTAGACAATGACAAAAGACTATTTGCTGCGGCAAAAGGAAAAGGGTAAAAAAAAATCCACTTTCTGTTTTGCAAACCCTGTCATTGTTCCCCGCTTGGTCTCCGGTTTCTGCAAGTTTGGAAACAAGCGAACAGATGCTTTAAATGTAGGGCATGAAAACTTTAACATTAATTTCTTCCACAAAAATATGGTAGGCTTACAATAGCATTGTAGTTCGCAAATGCCAATTTTTAGCTACAATTAATGTGGTGGAGAAAGGCCTCATTAATGTAAGGAGGAGATCTTTTTCTAGAGTGAGGCAACAATCTATACTTCGAGAGTGATCTTTTGTCAAACTAGCACATCCCCCTATCATATTTGTTAAACCCTATGGAAAAGAACCCGCATTTTGTCTATTAAAAAGATGCAAAGTTTATGTTTCTGCATATCACATTTTATAGATAATTAAGTAGTATTTTCATCTGATTCTTGATCCTGCTATTTGGACAGATTGAGCTTGGCTCTTGCTTCAGATAACTGAAGGAAATACATTCAAGTCACCATGCCAAAGCAATCAGCCAGTAGAAACCAGAGGTACAAAGGCTTTAAGGTAAAACATGTTCTTCAGATATGTGCTTTGCTTGCCCTTTGCATCTGGCTGCTGAACCAAGTTAGGAACACTTACGATAAGAAGGGCACTGGAATTTTCCCAAAGGTAACAAGTGAGCATGGAGACATAAAACTTGGGAGGAAGGACCTTGATCCTCAAGTACAAGGGTCATCCACGGAGAAAAACCAAAGTGGAGAAGTTGAAGGAGAAGAAGAAGAGGTGGACGAGAGTAAACCTGAGGAAAGTGAAGATGATGGAAGAGGGGGTGGAGATGATGAGATAGATGGACGTGATCCAGGGAAAGTGGAAGGGGGGGAAGAAAGTGAGGAAGTTGAGGATCTCATTGATGAAGAAAATAGAGAAAACATGGAAAACCAAATTGTGGATTTAAGTCTACTAGAAGAGCAATCCATGAATGAAGGTGACGAAAATTTTCAGGATCCAAGAGAGGAGCAGTACAAGAGTGATGATGAATCAAGTGCCATTGTCCAAAACAACTTTGATACTGGAATTGCTGCTCAAATTCGATTTTTGAGAAGTGCGGAGAAAATGGTAAAGAATGATGAACAAAGAGTTAAGGACATATCAGGTGTCAATTCTATAGACTTAAAAAGTAGCAAAGAGATTTGGTGACATGCCAGAGTATACAATGGAAACCTTAGCATCATTACCAAGTTAGAAAGTTGTTCCTGAGAATTGAGTCGTTTGGGTCTTTGCATGCTTCATTTCACTAAGAAAATTTGATAGGATCGATGGATCTCTTTTGGACACTTTGGTACAGGAGGAAATTGATACAGTGAAGTTGCAGCAGAATAAGTTAAACAGTTCCTGATCGACTATTTTAGCATTTGCCCACTGTTGTAGAAGAAAATTTTCAAAATTGCCAATAAATAGGAAGAACTATAACCACTTTGATATTGTATCAATAAGCGTGTAACTTGTAAAGTGTTAGTTCAATTCTTCAGTGTATGCTTCCTTTGAGACTTGTAGTTTCAACTAGTCAATTATCGTTAAATGCCATGCTTCCTCATCTTGTCATCCAGAATAACTTCCATTATTCTTTTGAGTAATAATAAACCACAATGATTCAGATAATTTAATAAAGAAACCACTATTCTATATCGTCATGAATTATGCAAACTGCTAGGCCAACCTGAATAACACGATGAAGGGGGTGAGAAGAACTTCCAGGGAAAGACGATGGATGCTACTTTTGAGGCTTTTTTTTTTCGTGTTTTGTTTTGGCCTTTAGGTCGTCATCAGTCGAGCAATACACTCAGACATATGATCCAATTATCATTGGGGGCAAATGTTCAGCCCTTAAGCAGTTAAGCCCACCCCGTTTTGCAAAGTCTCAGGCCCTGGATCACTGGCTTCAGTACACGGTAACATCTGATGCCAGGTTAAAGAACTGGACTATACATCAGCTACTACGATATGTAACTTAGTCCCATTATCATAGGTTCCAAGAAATCCAATGACCACAATACCATTAATTTAAGAAAGGTATGGAAGTTTACAGTCATATCTCTATTATTGGTTTAATCTTATAATCAGAGTACTCAAACAGAATCACACATCACGATGTTCAGAATTCTTTCACTCTATTGGACAGAAACTCCACAATCTAATTGTAAACAGCCGTTATCAATTAGTACTGATTGAGAACACAAAATCAATACCGAGAAATTCCAACGTCTCAGCATTAAAGATTAAAGCAACTGCAAGACTTCAAAACAAAAGCATATGAAAGTGAATGAGTTTATTTTCAGGAATGCTTCACATTTCTTTGTTGATGTGCATTCCACTGTAACAGCATCCATATAATCGATGTCCCTGATTTTGGGAAGAAAAAAAAAAAACATAGTTAGTTATAGGCAAAAATGGCAACTTTCACATAGTTGCATGGTAATCAAATTCCCGTGGAAAATTATAAGCCAAAACGTTTTAACCATACCATGAAAATTATCTTAGAGCAAGTTGCGGTTTCAGTTTAAAATGTTGATGTCATGATTTGTTACAGATCAGGGCATACTAAAGAAAGACCAAGAAAGATGCACATGAGATCTCAGACTTTGGCAAGCAGAGTTTTTGATTTTTGCAGTCCTAAGCCTTGATTCAATGTAGTTCTATGCAGGTTGCAAATGCAACGATAAAAGCTACAAACCTAGCAAACACGGAGAATATTTATAAACATTTATCAAATATTAAACTGATTATAATTCTTGGTCAGTTATACAATCCACAATTTTGATGTAATAAAAACAGTAAAAAGTTAAGGAAAATATTTCAGCAAATTCAATGACTTCATGCAATAGCAATGTCTTGTTTCCTAATGAAGACCGTACCTGCAAATATGCCTACGGTTGTCAGATTTGAAAGGGCCATTGTGTGGTAGAAGAGGTATTCAGTCAAAAAGTGACCAAAGGCATAGATGAATGACAAAAATGTCACCAAATATAGTGGCTTATTTTCCAAGTTGAATGCACATACAAAGCAGAGAGTACAAGTCAAAAGTGTCCAAACTCCGAATGTCCTCCCATGAACTTCGGTCACTGCATATCATTAGAAACAAATGGGAGAGATTAATTATTAAGACCTGGAATGACATATCATCAGAATTATACTGATATCAGAGTCTTCTTCCATTTTCTAATATTTATCACCAAAAACTGGTCTTTTGGCCCAAAAAAAAAAAAGCCTAGAACTTCTTTTAACTTGTACATAGGGGTAAAGAAGGAAATCTCAACTGCAAGGCAATAAAGTTTCCATCTAACATAGAGATAAAATGGAGCATTATCAAATTCATTAACCGGAACAAGATGGAAAAAAAAAATCCATGCCATAACTGACGAATATTGATATCTTAAGGTCAGATTATCATATGTTTTGTTCTCTCCACTGCCAGGTATAAGGTTGCAATAGTTCAAAAGAATTTAGAGCATTTTAATAGCAAACAAGCAACCTATTTAGAGGAATTCAATTCCAATCTCCTTTATCTTGTTTGAAACAGATACTTGAAATCATAAAAAAGAATTAACTTCAATAAGGCAAAACATAAAATCAAGGAATAGAAAACATAGCTTTAATTTTCATCATGAAACACCTTCAAGATCCCTCAAAGAAAAAGTAAGGCATGCTTTTTTGCTCAAAAATAGTATCTCCACTGGATTACATGCACAAAATATCATGCCCAAGCCATATCTGACGTGTATGCATTGTATTTACTTAAATTTTAGGTAACCCTTCCTCTTGTTCCCTTTAGCTAGAACAAACTCATACAGTTCAAAGATCAAACGGACCAGGGATATTTTCTTTTTTTTTTTTTTCACACTGTACTATGTCAAAATCCAAATTGTATCTTTCTTGAGCTCTGGACTCAAATTTTATCACCCTTCTAAGCCAAATTCATTCCCTTAAAAAATCCATGATTTAATAGTTTCTTCCTAGTGTTCCAACTGGAGTCAAAATCCATGTGTCCTCATTATTAAATTTTCATGTGGAAAACCACCAATGACACCTTTGCTGCCAACAGTCTTTCACGTCAAATAAGCAATGGTTTATACCTGCACTTAAAGAACTATACTTGAAGCTGCAATTAACACAACTAAAATTTCAGATGTACCAAATCTGTTTTGTGTTTGTTTACTCCAATTCAGACATCCTATATCTTTCATGAACAATGGACCCAAAATCAACTGTCTGCCTAACAAACTCTTCCCTCTCATTATTATTCTACGTTTGTCTACTTTTTGACTGTACTATTACATCTGAAATCGACCAGTTTGTTTCTTTCTTGGTTTTGCGACTGACTTTAGGTAGAGATGTGAATCTTGCAATCTCCTCAACCCTCATCCCTTCTCATCAACCAAGACAAAATAAAAAATGGCACCAAAACAAAATCTAACTTCAAGTAAGATGCATCATCAGCATTGGACTATTAAGCAAGAACCTGAATTTCGGTGCAAAGAACAAAATGGGCAATTGGACCGAAACCAACAAGTCTGATACACATCTATCCTTGTGTATTTCTTGCAGACAAGTTTGTTGAAGCATTTCAAAGAGAACTAATAAATGTTAGTTATTAGATCCAGAAAAGCAAATATATTTTATTAATTCAAGCTAACTAGCATGCCAGTTAGAAGTAAAGTTTAGACAAAATAAGACTAATTGAATGTTAGAAACATAAATCTCTCCATGTGGAGAAAATGCTCCACCACTCAATGCATCAACTAATTAACTCAATTCAAAGTACTTGTTGTTTTCTTTAGAAAATAAAACAAAATAATTCATTGCAACTAGCTTTCCAAAATCATTGCTCCGAAAGCAATAAAGCGAACATTTTTTCCTATGAGAATCTTCAAAATCTCTAACCTTTGGGATCCCAAATTAAACTTTTTCCCTATTTTTTAATCTGGGTATCGAAACTTCGATCTCTAGCTTAAAGAGACATAAACCCAACACTTGGCACACACACAAAAGCAGCACCTTGTCTCCATGACCGAGAAAAATAAACTAACTTCATTTGTTACAAATTACTACTACAAATTTGATCTTGTAAGAGTGAGTGATTTTTCAAAAATCGTGCCTTCTAATTCACAGAAAACCAAACATCGAAAGCAATTAAAAATAATAAACAGAGAATTAAGCAACGAAATAACAAGTTTCAGAGAAAAAAAAATCTTACTGGTGGTGTTGGAGAAAACGGCGAGACGAAGAGCCCAAACATCAAAAAAGCCGAACCAAACGGAGGATAATCGAAGTGAACCCACCAGCATTAACCACCATCCCAACGCCTTCATCTTCTTCACTGTTTGTATCTGCTACTACCTCTCTGAGTTCCTGCCTTCAACGAGTTCCTGCCTTCAACTAGAAGCAGCAGATCCGGCTCAAACTGCACCGTTTTGACTGCTTAATACTTCAGTTTGACACTTTCGACTTCGTGTTCCCACTTTTACCCTCAACAAAAAATTGTATAAATACAATAAATAAAGAATAAATATATAGAAGTAGACAAAAGTCAAATCTTCCTTTAAACGCGTGAAAACCAAAGAAAAAAAAAAAAACATTAAGAAGCAAGATTGTTGTACACAGGTGTACTTTTAACCTTCATAAAAATTTAACGTCACTCAATTTGTATTTAATGAATTAGTATTGATAAATAAAAAAATTAGTGAAACAATTAGAATCACAAATTTACTTGAAAAAGATTTACAAATATAAATATAGATATTAGTTAATAAATTATTTAAACATATATAATTGATCAATTTTTTAAAAGTTTAATCTAAATTATCAAGTTTTGGAGACTTGAAATTTAAAATAAAATATATTAAAATTTTAAAATATTAATATTTTAAAATATAATATAATTTAATTTAATTTAAAAATATTTTATTAACAATTTAATATCTTGAACCTGATTACTAGTTGAAAATTGAATTATATCGATATTTAAATTAAATAATCTAATTAGTCAATAAGTGTACCTGTGATCGAGAGAAATGTCTTATTTTTGGCTTTATTTCCATTTCCGGCTGTATAATTGCTACTATATATGAAATTGATGACACCCTCTCTCTTAACTTGCTTTCTCCTAATAATCGCCTCGATATTTTTATTTTTTTGTTCTTTTCAACTTGCTGTGGCAAATTTGCGTCTGCTAATCAACATCAAGGTGCTGTTTCTCAAGTCTATATCATCTTCGTCATGTTGTTTCACATCCTTTTTTTTTTTTCCAACATTTCGTTTATCTAACTTTAAACAAACCCATCACAATTAAATCCTTTTTGAACAAACAATGCTTATTTTTTTAATTTTATTTTCATTAATTTATGGATAAAAAGTAATAAAATTTAAAATATTAATTTGGTCACTTTGGCGAGTAATCCTTATTCTTGATTTTTTTTAAAAGTAAATAGTACGGCAATATTTTCTACAAAAAGCAATGGGCTTGAAAATAAAAAAACCAGGATACCATGACCCAAAAAGATTATGATTAAGATTTTTCACCATATTGAACGAGACATGTAAAAAAAATGTTGGAGGTTTTTTTTTTTTTTTTTTTATTTTGTTGATGTGGACTTATCCAGAAGGTTCTTGAAAAAGATCGTACTGCTGTCTGGTGGCGCCTAATCTCCAATACGAAAAATAAAGCAATTTTGTTGAATAGAAATTCAATGCTCAATGGCACTAATTTTGTTGATAGAGCCATTGATGTTACTTTAAGAAAGCTGATTGGATTTCGCTTTCACTCGTGTAAATAGAATAAAATAGGGAAATTATTTCAATATCTTAGTTTATCATAGTAATTTTAATGTATGTCAGAGAAAAACGATAAATAATATTTATTTCAAATTTGCTCTAATTTTTTTTCTGAAATAAAATTATTCCAATTTATTTTTTTATTATTTAATATATAAAATTATCAATTTATAATTGAATTAGATATTCGAATATGTTCTTAATTAGTAAAAAGTTACCACCAAAGAGTTGATGGGAAATATGAAAAATATTAACAAATAAATTTCATACTTGAAAATCATAAAAAAAAATTTAGTTAATAATAATAATAATAATAATTTTTTGAACACAAAGGGAAATAGTGGTAATAGTATTTGGGATTTTGCAAGGGTTTAAAAGGGTTATGGTGTGGAATATTGAAGCACCAATGAATTCCAACGATGCTTGCATGCTCCGTTTCATTACAATGGTGAAGTGATGATTGCTACTTGAAAATAATTGACGATGTCATTAGTAGATGTAAATCAAAACCACACTTCCAGCATCATCCATACCCAAAAAAGCCAAATAAATCCAGACCCCCAAATCCCAATCCTGTCTAGTTCCCCACTAGCCTAGTTAAAACGTTAAAAACACTACAAAAAGATTCCCTCCAAAGTCATGGCCAAGTGAAAGTCATGCAAATAATTTCTCGTGAATCAGTACTTTTTTATGTTCACCTAAGTGGGTAAATTAAAGGAAACTTTTTTCCCGTAAAATTTACTAATTTGGGTTGAAACTTGGAGCATAAACCATTTGTGGACGAGTGAGGACGCATTTGGCACGATCCCCAACTCCTCTCCGCGAAAACAATGGTTGTGGAGTGGACTGTGGGCGCTGCGGTGGTCCCCAATCTCATATTGTACCGCACCTATTAGCAAGTCATGTGATAGTGATGTAATTTCTGAGGCAAAACCCCCCACAACGTTTTTCCTCCCCGATCCCCACCACGGTTAAGCACCCTTCACTTTCCAATATGACAGATTGACAGTTTTGTTTATGTGTAGAGATGGCAGAGAAAGCCCCCTCCCCACACTAAAAAACACACACTCAAGCAAAGAGGTGAACGTGATTCCTAATTCTCAAAGTCTCGATTCCCGACGAAGCAAACAAAAACTTCCAATCCAATATAAAGCCACTCTGGCTTGCCAGAGCCACGTCTATTTTATTTAAAGCTTTTGGTCCTTTATTCTACAACTGTTTTCAACTGTAAAAATGCAGCCATATTATGTGTGCAGAGAGTCCTGCGAGTGGTAGCACCAGCAGAGAAAAGCACCACATGCTTGTCTGACTCCTTTTACGTCCCTCCCCTCCCTTCAAAAACCAAATTGGCTACAACAGGAATTCAAAAGTACCCAATCTATAAGCAGACGGACCACCAAATCCATGTCCTACCACTTTCCCTTTACCGCACTTTCTTTCAAAATAAACTACCGACCCATTGCTGCATACAAATTCATTGGAATCCTTTGTTAGCTAAAAACTTTTGGAAGTCGGCTAATTATCTTCTTTTGAATAATTAATGGCACTAATAGACGAATTAAGTCATAACAAAACATAATTAATGGCACTAAAAAACGAATTAAGTCGTACAAAAACTATGATCCTTTGCAAAGTATGCTGTCTCTCTCTCTCTGCCTACTAATGAAAGCAGATTACAGCTATCATGCATCCATAAAACAATTCTTCAAATAAATATATCTCCAGTACGCAGCAGTAACGTACACGCACATCCGTTGCCCATTCCCCAACGTCCCTCCACTTGTTCGTCCTTGACACGATATCCAAAAACAAATAAACATCCTTTGATCTTACTTATTTAAGTACCTGGAGCAAAGATAATCAGAAATGTGCCTACTATAAACAGACAAACCATGGCATTACAACAGCTCATCAATCCTTACAATCTAATTCAAATAGAAAATAGTAAGTAATAATTATAATTACTATATATTAAAAATAAGTCAGCTTGACTACAATATATCAAAAAAAAAAAAAAGAAAAACCCTTTTCTCTACCCATAAAAGAAGAAAAAGAAAAACAACACAAGCCACACGGGTAAGAACAAAGCGTGCGTGTCTAATATGAAAATCTCACCATTCCTTCCATTCCCTTCATTCTCTACTGTACAAAGTTTTTAGATTGTTTGTCAGTGGTAAAAAAGTAAATCAAAGAAACTCTCGCTCTCCACGATGGAACCTAAAACCCATCCACTCAGGAAAATTTAAAAAAAGCAAAAAAAAAGCTGGGAAAATCCGAATCAGCCAAGTAAATCCTGGTGGTTACAGAGCTCTTTTCTTAACCGTTGAGAGAAAAGCATGCAAGCATCCATACTCAAATCCACAGCAGCGGCTAAAGCCACGAAAGCAGCTGCATCCTCCGTACAGTTCACATGTTGCACACTCACCTCCACACAAGGCTTGCTACACTTGCCTTCCCCTTCCACGCGAGCCGACATTACAAACCCTCTGTACACGCAAAACGGCCATAATCCGTACCCGAAATCCCCACTACTCCTCGGACTACACGCCGGCGACGTCGCACTCCCCGGCGTTGCCCGTCCGTTGGAACATCCGCCGCTGCTTCCGCACCCTAGGTCAATAACGAACTTCCCTCCCTTACCCGAGTTCAGTGTTGACTCGGCTAGAACAATAGCCGCCGAGCTCATATCAGGAATGAGTTCAAAACGGTAACCAAGTCCATCAGAGGAGCCACGTTCGCGCCAAGCCTCGAGACGGCCCCAGGGTTTCCAGGTGCCATCTCCTGGACGGAGAATAAGCCATGATCCAGGATTAGAACGACTTACTCGGTCCGAACCTGGTGAAGCCACGAAAGGAGTAACCATTGAAGCGGCAGCTACAGGTGAGCCGGATAAGTCGTGGACCGTTATTGACCATCCTTTTCGTTCCTTTCCTGGCCTTTCCCTTTCGCTTCCAAACGAGCTTAACCAACTACGAGAGCTACTAGCCTCCGACTGTAACGACCTGTCCAATTTTAACTAAAAATTTTAGTCCACACGCAAAGAACAAACATACCAAACTAACTAAACAGTAAAAAGTAAAAGAAAAAAAAACTTTTACTTACAAATTTAGTAACTTTACAAAAGCCTGAAAAATAAATAATTAAAAAGGGTAAAAACCAACCTGGATCTCTGATTCCGATCACCGGTATTTCTAAAACTGAATTTGCAAGTGAAAACAGGTTGGCGGATATTTCCTCGGATCAGAAACACTTGAGGACTACATTCGGGTTCGCCATCAAACTGGAAAACGAATCTCGGGTCGGGTTCCGCTTTAACATTCAAGTGAAACTGTGCAGAGGAACCTTTATTAGCTTCTTTCCCAACCGAAATCCAGCCATTGTGGAACACGCAAGCCCTAGATTCAGTTCCAGCCAGATCCAACGGCACCGACACGTTCCCTAGCAGACGGCCCGAGTTAACCCCGCAAGTAGTGCCTCTCCGGCCTGTATAGATAGCTATCTTGAGACAAAGCTTGGCAGAAAAGATCGATTTCGCTGCGAGTTTGTTGATATCGTCTTTGCTGAGGTGGAAAGTAGCGGATAGGGTTTGGAGCTGGTTGTCAGGGAACTGATTCTCCGGCGGAATGTAGGGAACAACGGCGGTTTGTAAAGGAAAATTCTTAAGCTTAATCTTACAAAAACACGGCGACGAAGAAGGGTGAACAACGGACCGAGCCGGTTTAGACGCAACCGGAATTTTTAACGCAAGATTGCCTACGGTAAGTCGTACGAAAGGGCAAGGGTCCATTTTCTTTTGCACTCGCCCTTCCTCTTCAAAAACCCACAGTTTTGAATATATAGAGATGTAAGAAGAGGTTACATGGAAAAACGTGAAGGGAAAGCGGCTTGGAAAAGTGTAAATGGCAATATGCTGAACACTGTCTTCGTGTTGCTTTTCTCATGTCTCTGAATTTTATAGAAAAACACAATTTATGTGTACATGAATAGGGTTTGGGTTTGGGAAGAGATTAATGACATAAATGTTTGAGTTTAGTTGCGAAAACAGGGGTGGATGACAGCTAAGTACAGGCTGGCGTTAATTGCCAGAGGGGAGGGAAGCTGACGGAATCTGAGGTGAGGTGTAGGCTCCACATTTCATTTTTGGTTTATGATATGACGAAAATACCCTTCTCTGCCCTTTGCAATTCTGGCGTGTTTGATTTGTGTACTAAAATAAGCATTCTATGAAAATAGAATAGTGAAGGAATATAATAGAAAATATTTGATTTATTGAAATGAAATATAAGAGAAATTAGTATTAATATATTTGATTTATTTTTAAAAAAATAGTTGGATTAAGTTTAAATTATTATTTTATTTTTATTAAATTAATTATTAATTTATTATAAAATATTATTAATCACAATTAATTAATAAATGATAATTAATTATATTTTATTATTTATATTATTATATTTTATTAAAAATATTAAAATATTAAAAATTATTTTACAAAAATAGTTATAGAAAATTAAATATATGTTATTATTCCATTTTTAATTATTTTTCTCCTTCTCTTTTATTTTTCTTCATTCTCCTTCATTTTTTACCCCTCTAATTCCCGCCATCCACCACCCTTAGCAATGATCGGAGAACAAATTTCTGAAGATGAAACGTCACTCAATCGTCTAAAATCGCCGTAGAATCATCGATTTGACTTTACCAGTGACTAGATCGCACCGCCCATGAACGTATTCGACCCTTTTCAGCCAACTGGATACCTGCAATTACTCTATCTCTTCACCGACCCATGAATCTCATGATCTCCTCACAGTTTTTAGTGACTCAAAAACACTAGATCTAAGCGTCAGTGAACCTTTTTGAGACTATCAATGACTATATCTTAACACCGGAGATTTGGTCCGATTAGATTAATAAACGACCATTGTCGTTGGCGACTTTGATGTAATCGGAAATGATATGGTAGACCTTTTTGATAAACACTCTCTCCCCCACATCTAAACTATAATATAATTTCCATAAATATAAAAGGGTATAATGATAAAAAAAGAAAAAGGTTGAAACTCTATTCCACGAAGCTCAAAAGAGCTATTCTTCCATGAGAGCTCGAAATTATTATTATGAGACTTGAAGGAATGGCTATTCCTAAGCAAGAAGGATTTCATGAACCAAACTAGTAAAAGTAATTGATTATTCAAACACAGAATATTGGGGGAATGGAAATTCCATTCCCCCAATCAATCGTGCTGTCGTGGAATCTTACTTCTCCTATGCTAAAAATGAAGGAAAAATCGTTGCGTTAAAATTGTTAGTTATATAACTAAATAATTAATTAATATTATTTTATTTGTGTGTACTTTTTTATTATTATTAAACACTGAACTTTGGTACCACAAGTGGGTTGCGCCATTAAGACTTCTTTTTTCGTTTCTCAAATTTTATTTTGGTGGGTCAGAGTTTTTGATAGAGTGATTTGGGGCCGTCCGATCTCGAATATGATGGGAAGCAGGAAGTGGGGTTTCATTTCATCCAGTGGTTAGGTTCAGGATCTGATGGCTGAATTTACAGAGAGGGTTTGCATGGTGTAGTGTGTAGACGCGTGGTCATTGTGCTGAATTCCAAATGAAAACTCATAAAACAAACTTGCTGTCTGCTAGTTTGATGCATTTACTGGCTGAATCATAAATGTGGAACTAAAATGTACTGCCATAAATAATATTTTTCACCACACTTCTTTAATGGACATCAAGTTATAATTTATCATCCAACAAAACCCAAACCTTGTTCTTTTTTTTTTTATTAATGTAATGAATGATTCATATATTATAATAAAATATTTAATATAATATATAAATTTAAAATTTTTTTAATATAATATTTAAATTATGAATATTTTTAATCAATATGATATATACTTTTAATGTAATTAACTTTAAATGATAATATATAATAAATAAATAATTCATCAAGTATAATATTAATTAATGAATTTATAATTTAAGTATTATATTAAAAAAAATTTAAATTTAATTATTATATTAAATATTTTATTATAATTTAAAATTTATTTATGATTTGTATATTTTAAAAGTTCAAAGTATATATATATATATATTTAATTTCCAAATTGCTACATTCTTTGTATAAAAAACAAATTATTCTTCATTAATGTGAAGTGACTCAACAAGTTTGTACTATGTTATCCCTTTTAATATAACCATGGACTATGGTTGATGCAAAAATAGAAATAACTCCTTGGTTTGGATGAAAAGAAATATAATTAATTTGGTTTATGCTGGGTATCAATAGGGTTGGGATGCCAACCCATAATGTTGAACTAATCATATAATAATCTCAAATGAAGACAGTGGATCCATCAAATTCATCATCGAAACTAGCACTTTAGCTATGTGGGTTATTTGACATTAAAAATAATTATTGCTTCAAAATAGAGTTATATAGAAGCCGCGTTGTCTCATTTCATAAATTTCACTCTTCAATTTCGTTGTTAAAATTTACCTTTAAACAAAATATTAATAAATGAGTTTTTATATTTGAAAACGGTATGTATCATTTTTTAATTTTATGTTATTGACAATAAATAAGATAATTTTTTTCAATTTAGCACTTACTTGTCACAAAAAATGGAGGAGACAAATAGTTAATTGGTTTGACCCAAAGGCCTAATCTCCAAAAATAAAAATCCAATATAGTTGTTGGTGTGATAAATAATTTTTTTAATCAAAATATTTATTAAAGTTTTATTTATATTTAGGTACACTAAAAATTATACATGATAAGAGTGACAATTTAAGATAAATATTAAGAAAGTATATCATCAATAATTATTGTAATGTAATGGAATTAATTATAATTTAATATTGTGTAGGATTCATAAAAATTATATAAAATTCACACATTTAAATCATAAAATTTTACATAAATTTGTTTATAATTAATTAATTATAAAATTATAGTAAAAAAATAGACGAAATATTTCCCATAAATGTTATAAGTAACGACAATGTAATATATATATATATATATATATATATATAAACACTTAAAAGATAGGAATTGGTGTGACCCAAAAAGAATTATGAAGGCCACCATTGTTTGAGGCCCAAAGTAATTGAAATTTACTGGTGTGAGTCATTATGATACAAAGGATAACGCACGTAATCCAAAAGTAAGGTGCGGAGACACCCAATGTCACTCTCCTCTCTCGCAATCTTTTATGCAACCTAAAGGCCGAAAGGACCAACCAAAGAGAAAGTGGGAAGCAATCCAAGGCAGAGAAAACCATGCTTATAGTTTCCGTAGCTTCAGCTCCCAAAATCACCCTTCTTCCCAATTCCATATCTTCTGTACCTTCATTTAATACACGTAGTCTTCCATCTGCAACGATTTCCAATGGTGGGTTAGTGATAGAATGTTCATCGAGGCCACGGAAGAAGGCAACGAAGCATCACATGAAGACAAGGCCACGCAAGACTCAGCCATGGGACATAAAGAGGAAGCCCGCCGTTTACGCTCCTTTGCCTCCACTCCCTCCTGATTGGACCCTGGTTTCCAGCGGTGCTGCCGATGATGTTGTTGCTGAGGATGGTCTCGCTGGAGCTGCTCTACCGGCACCTGTTTCAAGCGGGTAGCTTTTCTTGTTTCTCATTTGTCGATTGTGTCGTATTTGTTTGAGGGTTTTGCTTTGTTATCTGGGTTTGGGTTATTGTGGTTAGTTTTGGGCTTCATGGCTAAATGATTGAATGAAATTGAAAGTGAAACTGAAATGTACACTGATGAATATCTTTTTAATCTGTCTTAAATTTCGAGGTAGATTTGCCCATCAGCTCATGTTTATATTAGTTTCAGTTTTTGTAAGAAATTACATCTGTTTTCATTTTTCTCTTTTTTGTAAAATTAGGAACATGGAACTCTGCTAACAGACTTTGCCAAAAAGCATAGCTTTTTCTTCGTAACAATCAAGCCGTTTCACTTTAAGTTGTTCTGAATTTTGATTCATTAAACTTTGGGCAATCAGCTTAAGGAGTTAAAAAAGAAGTATTGAATCATCCTAGAAACATATATACCAGGAATAAAGACATGGGTAATTTTCAAAGCATCCATACCCGTCTAACAGCCATGATGTTTTGAGGTTTGGGCTTCAGCAATTAAGTTCTCAAGATCCTTTTATAATCAACGACTCTACCTGAATACAAAGACAATGACTGAAACTGCATGGAACAGAACAATGTCTATCAAGAAACATCAGATGTGATTGTACCAAGTGCTCTCCTATCACCATGTTACATGTACCAGCGAAAGGGTAATTACAAAGTAGAACAAAAAAATTGAGCACACGTGAATTCGCAGAGAGCCGTTTACATTATAAGCTACTTAGTAGGGACAATCCTACTAAGCCCGATGTAATTACAGAATTTGGAGGTTGGGATCTTTCGCACTTTGAAATGCACCCTCTTCCAGCTGCTAGCAGGATTTACACGATGCCATACAAGGTAACGAAACAAGCACGAGACCTCGTGTTGCATATGATTATTGAGACAATCTGATGCTTTGGAGAGTGGAGTAGCATGCCGTCTTTTTACATCCTGATTCCTTAAGGTTTTCAGAAAGTTACTAGCATGATCTTTTCTTGTATCGACTCTGCACCAGGCTCAAGAGAAAGTCTGTAAATATATGTTCATACCCAGGCATTTTCCCATACCCTGCAATATTTTCACAAACAATTGCAGAGTAAGTCAGTATGTCTGTAAGGTGCTTTGAGAAAAGAACAAAATGGGTTTTAAACCAGGTCTACAACTGACACCATGATGCTTATGGAATAGAAGTTTCACTTGCCAGGAAAGTAGTTGATGTCAATGACATAGAAATGATCCCTGGTTCCATGCTCCCGGATGATATCTAAGTTAAAAAGCCGAAGACCCTACATATAACAAAAAATTGTAAAGAAATATACCAGAAATTATCCACCCATTGGTATATGTGCAGACCAGAAAACTAAAAGGCAAATTTTAAAACTACCAGTCTTCGACGAAGTTCTTTGGCTAGTCTTTCAAGTAAAGGGCGAGGAGGAAGCTCTGCATAGCAAGGAAAAACATATGTTAGGGGGCTTACAAAGATACCAACGACATGGCTTAAGACAGCGTTTCATACTTCAACACAGTTCAAAGCAGCCCCCTTTTTTATATTAACCCACAAGTTGAATGAAATTAACTGGAAATTAACTGAAAAGCTGCGATCAAATAATGTTCAACCTTTCTGACTCAACCATGAAAATGTCTTCAAACAAACTCCAAATTCAATCACATGATCAAACATTCATGTCATAATGTCCAACTAGCAGAACCGAAACAGTAGCAAAGAAGAAAAGGTACTCGGTCAGGACAACTTACCAGCCACACTAGGGTCCAAATCTGCATCATCTGCAGAAGCTGCAGCACAGGAAACACGTGGAAACCGGAAAACACCGGCATTTTTTGAGAGCTCTCTTTTAGTTACATCAGGTAAAGAGAAACGCCTGACTACTTTTATGGCTTCTCCAACAATATATACCTTGAAGAGAACACCTCCTACAGCCATTAAATGAAAAAAAAAAGCAGTACAGCAGTTAGGCTTTGGAAAAGCTATGGTTATTAAGTCTCTACAAAAACTACAGTTCCATACCATGGTTAACAAACTCCTGAAGAACAAGTGGAGGTTCAAGTATCCGGAGAGAGTATTGATCATAAGCAAGTGATAATTCGTGAGACTTTGCACTTCCATCAGCAACCAATGGTTTTGCAACTAAATTGATGAGAATATGCAAGTTTGCTTAGAAAGAATTGCCATGAAAATAGGAGCAGATTAAGGGAAAAAATAAATCACATGATTTGGGAAAATGATCCAGGCAAAGTATCTCTATAATTGTTATGATTCAAGTCCAGTGACAGGTGCCATGCAGACCTCACAGGTAACATATGGAACATGTGAAACAGATTATTAAACCTACTGCACAATATACCAAAGACAAAGTATAACTTAAATAGACCCTACAGAATGGTAGGTTATATTAGAACAACACATGACAACATCAGCGTACCAAGTGGCAGTGTCAATCCAGCTTTGGCTACAGCATCAGGAATGCATGATGCGTCTCTTTTAATGACCAATTGCCTGGGAACGCCAACATTTCCTGCATGGTAAAAAAATAACATCCATTTTGATCAGCATGGGAGTTCATTTATAAACCTTTCATTGAAAACCAAAAAGTTCTGATGAGAATCAGTACAAAATTACCATAGGAGTCAGATAAATTCATATCTGCAACACATTGTAGCATTGATTGGCGATTGTGTAAATGTTGTATAGCATCAGGAGGATCAAGAACTGTGACTTCTGGATGTGTTCGTCTATATTCCTGCAATTATAGGTTAAAGACGTTAAGATGGATTGGTCTCAACACAAATGTGTAATTAGCAAACAAATAGCCCTTGAAATGGCAACTTTTCTAAAAATAACTGTTAATATACCTACAGCCTATTATTGTCCAAAACCAACACTTTAGAATCCTTTGGCCATAAATAAACAAAAACCTTTAAAATCCTCATTTTTTGACTTTTGCACTTACAATTTCCTTCACAGCAACTTATTACATTCTTCCCGGAATAAAAACTTTTAAAATAGACACCTAAGAAACTTATAATTCCTGGCTCGTGTATATTATCCAGTAAGAAATTCATACAAACTCACAAGGCAGATCCCAAATTTTTTTGATTGAGCACTGTGATTAACAAACCACCCTCTGGTTGCAACATATGAATGCCATCCACCTAAATTCATGCCAACACTGAACTATTGAAAGTTGAAAACAGCTCATACAGGCTACAAGATACTTAATAAAGCACCATCACAAAATTGAGAAACTCTCTTGAGATTTAAGTGACATAAAACTGATAAAGAACATATTTAACATGAATGGGTTAGTCAAGTGCTAGAATTAGTACCTACAGTTATATCCTAAAGAACTGACTCAAAATAGAATTAGAAAAGAAAATTTGGACCGCGTTACAAACTGAACTCATATACTAGCACTAGATTCCAAAGAAAATAGGAGTGCAATTTAAGCAGCTGATACCTCTGTAAATCTATAATTATAAACTAAGATAAGCTACAGAAATTTCAGATTTGTTCTCCAGAAACATATAAATTTTAACTTAAAAAATACAATAAAAACAGCAATATTCCAACTTCCAAAGCACAACTGATTTAAATTCTCATGTAAGAACTTAATCTAGATAAGGTCAGAATTTAACTTCAAAAATACAATAAAAACATCAATATTCCAACTTGCAAAGCACAACTGATCATAAATTCTTACATAAGAACTTAATCTAGCTGAGATCAGAAGGTTTGTCACTGTAATACTAGAACACATACTGGACATTTGCAAATGAGAAAAGTGAATCCTTTTACTAGTCACATCCTCAAGCAGCCAAAGTGAGACTTAACGAGGGAGGCACTTACAAAATCTAGTCCTTAAGCATGATATAGCAAATACTAGAAGTACAACAGATCCTACACTTTCTAGGATTGAGTCGGGACAGAAAGGGGTAATAATGTACCCAGGACACATGAAGCCATTCAAAACAATGAAAAGATTTTTTGCAGGTAATACTAAGGAAAACCTGAAAAATCAGCTAGATGGCCATGGAAGAAGAAACACCCTCACTTGCTGGAAGCTTAAGGCCTCGACCTCAATTATCAAGTCAGGATTCATGAGGAAGGAAAGAGCAAGCAGTCTGCAAATTATGTCAGTCACTCATGAGATTTAAACACAAAACAATTGGCTGCCACCAGTCATTGGGTTATTTGGTTCCTCACATGTAAAAACACATCAAAAGGACGAGGAAAATATGTCCAACTTAGGTGGCTTCATACACGATCATTCCAAGACATCCATCGTTCTCAAAAGAAAACAGAAAGTATAGGATCTAGAATTTGGACCAACCTCAAGAATCTGGCGCCATTCTTTTCCTGTCAACTGCATCAAAAATTAAAATGGGTCATGTTAAGTGATTGTTTGCACCCTTTCAATATGTAAAGAAATATCTACTAACCTTGTGCAATACAATATCAAAAGGACCTTGATCCGAGAGAGGTATGTTTTGATCAATTGCAACAAACAATATCCCTTTATTCCTGCACCACTTCCAACATTTTACACAGTTACAAACACAAAAGAAAGAAACAACACATCAACAGCAACAGAGGCATGATGATAACTGCACAATTCAAGCCTTTTCTCCTATCAAGGTAAAAACGATCACACTCCTTAATTAAAAAACACAACAGAAAAGGACCCATAATTTAATATTAGCAGAGGATCATGTTGCAGGCACTGAATCAAAAAGAAAAGAACAAAAAAAAAAAAAAAAACCTTAGCGTAGAGCCATGGAGGTCGTTTAAGATTCAGCTTAAAGAATTTAGACTTAAGTAATAGTAGTAGCTGATGTTTGCTTCATGAAATAATATAAATATGTAAATATCTTCATGCATTAATTCCAAATAAATACTGCAAATGACATATTATAAACGAGAGTCATAAAATAAAAATCTTCTGAAATATTGGAGTTAAAGTGTTTGGTGTAATATCATTCACATAAATTACTTCATTTTCAACACAACCAAAACGGCAAAGACATCAAATGGCAGCATATTCTCAATCTTGGAATCCACACAATAGATTCCAAAACGATGAAGCAGAAAAATCAAATAAACGTACCCAAAAACTTAAAAAAAAAAAAAAAACTCCGGTTAAGTCTTTAAAAATAGGAAAAAAACCCAAGATTCACCTGGCTAAACCTTCCAGTTTTGGTTGTAAAAAGCTCTTAACTTTCTTAGAAGTGAGGGCGTAACCGACAACAACAAGGTTTTTCTGATGTTGTTGTTGTAAAGCTCCGATGGAACACTGCGACATCGTTTCGGGTTCCTCTTCGTCGTCGTCGTTATGAGAAAACTCTTCCTTCAGCCTCATATGTGAGTGAAATCAGGGTATAATAAAGAGAAATGCGAGTGAAAATGAAGATCCGCGAGATTTCTGAGAGTCGGTTGAACAAAAGACAGGAAGAAGAAGAAGAAGAAAAAAGGAAAAATATGAGACCGAAAAAAAAGAAGGGAGCATTTGAAGGGTTTGGTGACGGAAAACGCGTGAATAAATAGGCGTTTTGGTTAGTGGGAGAGGCTTTTTGCCTTATGTATTGGACGCGTTTGATTTTGAAAATCAAGCTGTGACTGAAGCGTGATGCCAATGCGTCCGATCCATTTCCACATGTGGGAATGGGTGGCTTATGACGTGGCGGATTGTTGGAGACACCTGGGATTTTTTTTTTTTTGGATAATTCAATTTTACTATTTCTACTATTTCTGACCTTTTTTTTTTCTTATGAAAAATTTTGGACCGATTTTCACAAGGAATGTCATTACTTAAAAATACGTAAAAACAATAATTTTGGTTAAGATAACGAGTAAGATTATTATGGTTAATAAATTTTTTATATTCATGTTTGGCTCATAATCAACCTCGTGTATAAATACCATTTTTTTTTATAAAATAAGATGTACATGAAAATAATAAAATATGTGTACAAATAATTTTCTTTTAAAATTTATTTAAAATATTTTCTTTCATTTTTATCTCTCGGAGTAAAAGCATGTCACAATATGATTCAAACCCAACTCATTAGTTGAATGAATGCCATTTGACCACCAAACAGTATTACACCTTTTTTTTTTGTTGTAGCTTTGTATTTTTATTTAGTAGACTGATTTTTTTTTAATTTTAAATAAAATTTTCATCCTATACATTAATTTTGGTCATTTCGATTGAGGATATGACCATCCACGACTAAGCTCCCATTTTTTTTTAATTTTAATATTCTTTTATTTTTTCTTTACATAGTTAACAAATTATTTTATTTAAAATAAATGATGTGGGTCTCATTTGTTATTAGTAATTAAAAAAATACTTTTTTCCTTTTTTTAATTTTATAATTTTATAAAATAATGATATTGATATCGATGTAACATCTGTATTTTTTTTATTTTTTATAAATTTATACATTAAATTTTTTTAAAAAATAAGGTAAATTAATGAAATTGTTCATGTGATATCTCATTTGATTTTTTTTTATTTTATTTTTTATTAGATAAATTTTATAAAAAAATAGTTAATAGAGGTAAGAATAATAAAATAATTCATTTTTTGACTGGTTTTGATGTGCTTTAATTCAATATGGGTTTTTTTTTTTTTTTAAATCAAGATTTGATCGAGGGCATTGAGATTTTTCTTTCTGAAAATCCTAATCCGGTCGAAGATGTATTTAGAATGATTAATCTTGAATATATATTTATTTATTTATTTATTCATATATATATTTATTATATTAATAAATTTATTTATCCATTCATACTATTAAATTTGCTAGACTTTTGGTTGATTACCATTTAAGATGTCGGTGTACCATCTTATATATATATATATATATATATTTACTCTATATATTTTTAAATTTTTTAATTAGATAAATTTTTGTAAAAAGTAAAACCAATGTAAGTGTGCATGCAACATCCAAATTTGATTTTTTTGTTTACATTTATATTTTTTAATTCAATAAATTTTATAACAAAATAAGTTATTGAAAAAGATTAATAAAATAATTTGTATTCAATAAATTTCTATAAATGAATATATTAATAATTATACATTTTATTATTAATTTAAATTTACATATATATTATATTAATAAAAATTAATTTAAAAAATTAATATTTTAAAATCAATTGAAGTGTTCACGTTCTACTTTCAATGAGCTTTTTTTATTTTTTCTTTATTTTTTCACTTTTTTAATTTTTTTTATTAAATAAATTTTATGAAAAATAAGATGAATGGAGGTGTTCACATATCACTCTCATTTTTTTTAATTAAATTAATTTTACAATAAAAACTGATTAACAGAGATGTTAAAACAAAAATTTTGACTAGTGGACATTTATCTAGCTTATAAAAAAGTAATCTTTTTTTTTTTTGAAGATTTGGAAGAAGATAAATATTATATATATCCAATTGGATAAGCATCGGATATTGAACCCCTTTTTATAAATTACTATATACTTTAATTATTAACAAAGGTGGACCTATCATATACTTTATTTATTAACAAAGGTGGAGTTAGTTAGTGGATTGTCTGATTCATAGAGTATGATGTGGATTGCTATATTTTTATTTTACCAATCTTTAATCTGTTAGGTCCAAATGGGGGCCAGATGCCTTCTCCACTTTTAAATTTCAAAGATTTATCTTTGTATTTTTTGTTGTTAAATTTGCCTACAAATCTATCATTTATTTGCAATATATATATATATATATATTTAAAGTAATGGAAGGATTACTTCTTTATAATGTAATACATTCTGTCTCCTTAATTAGTTATTATTGGTTAGTTTAAACACAATTTTTTTTTATTTAAAGTTGTTAGATATCTAACTTTAATTATTGAAATTAATAATTTATCATGTTGATTATATTAACTATTAATCTAATTACGTACTAAAAGTTTGTTCTAACGTATAATCACATTTGTTTCGCACTAAACTTCAATAAGAACTAAGGTTGGTGTCGGATTGGGTTCGAAACGGATTTTGCTCGATCCGAACCCGACTCGATTTTATGTATTATTAAATTCGAATTCGATCATGATACGATACTATATAAACTGTACCTGATTCGATCTGAAATTAATAATATATTATTTTTAAAATATAAATATTTAAAATATTATTATATATATAATTAAATAATTAATTAAAAAATAATTTTAATATAATATCAGATCAGGTTTACCTAAAATTTGAACTTGACTCGAAACCCGAATTAAAAAAAAAAAATCGATCTCATAGGGTCAGATAAAATCAAAACTCGTTGAAAACAAATTGGATTGTCATCCCTAATAAGAACTTAAACGATGTTAACATCACCAAACGGACCCTAAGAGATTTTTTTTTTATTCAATGATACATTTTCAATATTATTTTATTAATAAAATTTTGTTTTTTCGCTAATAATAAAATAGAAAGAGTTGAATTGTCATATTAAAAAACTTTGGCAACTTGAATATCATCAGGTGACAGACACAAAAAAAACACCACCTAACAGAGTAAATACAGTACCGATTTATTGATTCAATTCATTTTAATGGAAAAAAGCAGGCAAAACCTTGAAAATTGATGGATGCTTCTAGAAGCTGAATACGACTGAAATTACATCATTAAAAAAAGCCAAAGTGAAGGACCACTTAAACGTCTTATTCACCATGGTGGAAAATATGATTCTAAGTAGCTAGCCTCGATTTACTATCATCTTTTTACTTATATTTTATATTTCTATCATTGATCAGTCTTACTTCGGAGGATAATATATATAAATATTATCAATATTTATTGATTCGAGTGATAAATAATTTAATTTTTATAAATAAAATTTTAGGTTTGAATATTATAAATAAAAAATAAATTTTAAAAATTTTATTTTTTTTATGAAATTTAATTTGATTGTGAATTAATTGAAATTTAAAATAATTATTGAATATCAAAAAATTTAAAATTAAAAAAAAAATATATATATATATATGTATATATAACTCATAAGTAATATATTGGCATGGTTTTAGTTTGACTTTTTTTGGAAATGGATGATATGTGCTTAAAATATTGTCGTAGCAAAGTTGCCATGAAATGGGAGGGACTTTGATGTTTTTGTCATAAAATCAATTTTGTTCTAATTTATTTGTTGTTTTTTTTATATAATTAATTTATATAATTATTTTAAAAAATAACATTTAATAGATTTAAATTTTATAAAAAATATATATTTGTTTAATTTTTTGATTACGATTTCATTCGTAAAAAAATGGTTGTTGAATAAACTTAGTTACCTACATTACACTGAATAGGTCATTTTTTTTATTAATTCATTATCACATTTTTATTTTTCAATTGAACTTTTTGTACTTTCCTGAGAAAACTTTAACATATTATTATATATAATTGAAAACAAACATGGATATAAGTCAGGTATTGTCTCTCGAAAAACATTAAGATATTAACAAGTTGAATGAGGTTGGAAATTAGATATGGATGGATGAACAAATCAGGTTGAACGTGCATTTTTAGCATAACAACTCTTTTATTTGTGTATGAATTAAAAAAGTTGGCTACTTAAAACCTTGACATTGATATTGAGATGAAATTTCCTTCCCAAATTTTGTTGGATATTCATGACTGGAAGATACCGCTGAAAAGGTGTGGTATGACAAAGCTGCCAATCAACCATTATCATTTTCCACTTTCCACCATATTTTGCCTTCGTTAGCAAGTTTTTATTTTTTGGGTAATAAAATAATATTTTGGCTTCTTTACCAATTTTGACTTTCTCTAAAACTTTCTTGCGGTACATATCAAGAGGTTTAATAAATTTAATCATTCGTATATTTATATTATATTTTATATAAAAAATTATATTATAATTTATATTGATATAAAAATATAAAAAATATATTTTTTAATTTTATTAAATTTATATATAATTATTACTATAATTTTAAATTATATTATTTTATATTATAATTATTTCATGTTACGATATTATATTTTATATTGTGAGATTTACTTGCGAGTGCCATTGCTCAAGATTCATTGGCAGCAAAGATGAACTGTTTCGAAAGGGGGGAAATGAGAGTAAGGACTACCCCTTTTTGAGGCAATATTTGGTTGGTTGATTTTTAGTGATGGGTATTGCTTTGCCAGTAATTCTCAACTCATTGGGTACAGTTGGGCTATTGGACACATCTCCAACTTTCGATGTATCATCGTATGTATCATCGTATATATAAAATTAGCAGATTTAATCTTCTATAACGTACGATCTACTGTAATCTTCGATTAAAAAACGTCCCCAGCAACCTAAACTTTTATGAAAAAAAAAATTACTTCGAAACAAATTTCAACCAATTTCTGGGTTAATCGCTTGTTGAGAGAAACAAGTAAAACGTGCCTGAGGAAGAAGACAAAACAAAAAAGACAAACAAAGATTATTACTTAAATCACAAGTAAACTGAGGGACGACCATTTGTTTTTTACTTAATTGTTCTTTTTTTGTGCTTTTCCAAGCAATCAAGGCATGGATTTGGCTTTAAATCAGTGGGTTGCACCGTCGGTATTCCACTTCATTTGATACAAATTAAAATACCCTTAATGTCCTTTAACAGGTGTCACGCATGCAAGATCCTGCCAACAAAAAAATATATGTGAGATGTAAGATGGGTTAAGGGTCGAGGGAAGGAAGTATCAAGAGACAGGAGATTTGCAAAATTTAGTACACTCGGTTGCTCTAGTTTTCATTCAAATTACATGTGTGTAAATATGATAAGAAAAGCCAACAAAACCCAGTTTAATCGAAGGCCATTACTCATTAACAAGCTTTGCATATAAGAAAAAAGAAAAAAAAAATCCAAGACGCTCTTTAGATCGTAATGATGAAATAAATCCCTTCTAACTTGTGTATGATAAAACAAAAGCCAAAAAATGCAACTTGATAAAACCACATCATATGATACTCTGAACAGAAACAAAGATATAATGAAAACCACACCAATGTTTTAACTATTCAGAAGTCAAAACCAATGAATTGTTTCTAACAATTGTGCTTTAGATGAAGCCTCATGTGCTGCCAAAAGAGTGCCATCCATTGAGGTATGTGAAACTAGCTAATAGAAACATTAAGTCATTTTGCAGCTTTAGATCATAAACTAATCATTTTAGATTATAAGCTTGTCAACAATATGAATTTATCCAGAGTGTAGAATCTTTATATATGATGTGGATGCACCTGAATAAGACTAAGAACTTCAATGCTCATTTCGTCTCCACTTTGCAACCTTTAGAAGGTTATAAATTCCACAATAAAATCTACGCTTCCAAATCTCAAGAAGAATTAATTTCGTAAATAATAGTTCTCATAAACTCATCATTCTCCAACAACTCATGTAAGCATCCCAGCCCAACTCACCGGTCTATAGTTAACAATTAAAAAAAATAAAAATATGTTCATAGTTTAAATTGACTTCCACTATTAGCGAGAAGCAACATCTTCGTTCAATAGACCTGCAACTTTCTTACCTTCAATTTACAGTGTAAAGTAATAAATTCCCTTACTTGGGCGAAGAGTGCTGAAAGTCTTTGAAAGCAATCTGGAATGGGAAAAGTTGCCACTAGATAATAGCTTAGGCTCACTAACAAGAAAGCGACCAAAAAATATGAAAGAAAAAAAAGGATACCAAGGAGAGCAAAGAAGTTTAAATTGCATGTTACCAGATGATCTGAAACTCCCCACACACTCGGGTAGAATATGCCTGCTCACAGTAGTCAACCATACCACATACCACTTTGGGTTCTTAGGATCATCAGCAGTGTAAAATCCACACTAGATGGGCGATACTATTGAGATCCTGCTTCCACTTTTTCAACATTTCCTAATTTAACCCGGCACAGTATAAGATGTTTTACGCCATTATCATCAGCATCTGATAGCTTTGTGCTGCAACAATTAATCAAAGATCTTGGCAAATCAAGAACTAGAATGAATAATAAACCCAAAAACCACAGTGGTAGGCTAATAAAAAATAATAACTCAAGAGCAAAGCCTACAAATGTCAAACAGAAATCAAGCATAGCATGCCATATTTATAAAACCTTGTTTATCCGTTTGCCAAAACCCCCTGTCATTTTGCATGCCTTGGGCAGCTTCCACAATCTTGTTGTGGCTACAAAAAACACCTCCCCAATGAGCTCTTTAAAAATGACGGAAAATCATAAAAAAAATTTTAAAAAATAAAGATGGATGGCAGCCAATCGACACCTGAATAACCTCCTTAACAAAACAAGCACAGTGCTCACTTAACATGGCTTAGTTTCTCACTCAAGTGGGTCTCCCTCATTAAATAGGTCTGATTCTGTTACATGAGGGTAAATATGATAAGAAAAGACAACAAAACCCAGTTTAATATCTCCGATTATCTGCTGCTTCAAACTGCAGAAAAGATACAACAATTTACTAGATAAACCAAATGGACAAAAATACAACAAAAACCACGTCTTAAAGTATGACCAAAGACATAAACAAACATGGAGTGCAATCATAGTTTCACCTTTCAAATTTCTAGTTCTTCATAAAAAAATAAACCCCTTTGAACTACAATATCAAAAGGCAAAAGTACAATTTCATAACACCATAGTAGTCTGATATCCATAATCATCTGGTTCTTTGAACGGAAGCAAAAGACAAATGTAAAAAGTCAACTTTTAGATAATCAAAGGCCATTACTTATTAACAAGCTTTAGATAAAGCCTAAAGGAAAAAGATGGGGAAAATGAGTCAACAACACACCCTAGATCATAATGCAGGTTCAAATAAATCCCTTAAAAACTATATACTGCCAAAAAATACAACTTGATAAACCCACATCATATGCTATTCTAAAACAGAAACAATGATACAATGAAAACCATCAAAATGTAAAACACTCAAAACCAATGGATTGTTAAGTATGTAAAAATTGTAAAGCCTCAAGAGCAAAAAATTAAAAAAAAAAAACCAATATATATAATGTTGAAAAGTAAAGAGAAACATTAATTGATTTTACAGCTTAGAAGATAAACTAGTTTATTTCAGATTATAAGCTCGTCAATATATTAACATATCCAGAGGGTACCATCGACACATAAAATGCAGATGCAGCCTGAATAAACTATCCAAGAGCTTCAATGATCATTTCTTCTCCACTTTGCAATCTTTAGAAGGTCTGACAGAATAAAATCTATAATAAAAAAGGAAAAAACAAATACAGAAACTGAAACTGTAAACTTTTTCATGTCTTGAATCATGATTGCTACATTTACTGTGGGTTAAAACAAATAGGACAAAGACCCACCCCCACCCCCTCAAAAAAAAAAAAAAAAAACCTAAGAATGATTTTTGTTGTTTCTGTGGTCTAAGCATTTCCTTTTATATCACAGTTGTGAGGTAACAATTACATTTGGTTTTTCTTTTTTCTAATAGAATAGGCAAATGAAATCAGTAACACAAACAATTCCAACACTTTGAAATCATCCAGAAGCATTAATTTCCAAAATAGCAGATCTTAGAACCTCATCCCCAGCAACCAGTCGTAATTGACTTATAAAGGCATCCTTGGCGAGCGTTCCAGCCTGTGGTAAACAATTGAAAAAATAAAAAATTTGTATATAGTTTAAAGGCAACTTCCATTACAATAAACAAGAAATATCTTCATCTAATAGACAAACAGCCTACTTGCCTTATATGAGGTGTATGAAATCCATATTTCCTGGACTTTGGCAGGAGGAAGAGAGCTCTTAATCTTCGAAAACAATTTTTCAAGGGAATACTTAACACCCGGTAGCGGCCTCGGTTGACCTACAAGAAAACATCCGAAATATTAACTTCATATATGTAAATAAATAAATAAATAAATATTTATTTATATAAAGGATACCAAGGCAAGTAGAAAAGTTACCTTGCATGTTACTAGAAGGTCTAAAGCTCACAACACTCTCAGGAAGAATATGCATGTTTGCATTAGTTGACCATACCACATACCACTCTGGGTTCTTAGGATCATCAGAAGCAGTGTCAAAATCCAAACTAGATGGGTGATACTGTTGAGATCCAGCTTCCACTTTTTCAACATTTCCCAATATAACCCGGCACAGAATAAGATGTTTTATACCATCATTATCAGCATTTGCCAGCTTTGCACTGCAAAAATTAATCCAACTTAAAAAACATAGATCCAAATAAAAGTATAAAAGTTAAAATTACCAATTAAGAAAAAAGTACGTGTTAAAGAGTAATTAAACCTATCAAGGTGAACTGATCAGGCCTAGGCTGTTTTTATTCATACTATAGCTCGATTGGTGTAAATATGGCATCAATATATGATAAAAATTACTAATCGATTGAGATTGTAAATTGCACAAGCCAACAATTAGCATTGCACGAACTTGACTTGGATTACTACTGAAGCTAACTTGATTTCAATCTTGAACTCAATGGTAATCGAAAACAGGGGGACCATAACAACCTTGGACAGTGAGGGAAAGCTAAGTAGGTAACTGGACAATAAACAAAACACTAATCCATTACCTCAAGTGTGGGAACCCTACAGGAGACAAATAAACGCCAATCCCGTAAACAGTCGTGGGAACCTTACTGGGCATCCCAAACCCATGAGCCAAAATACTCTCCACAACCTTGGCGGAGGCCCCATACCATGCATACACCAAATTTGAAGTGCCTCTTGCAGCCTTAGTAATCTCAATCTGCTTCTGAAAAACCTCAAGACGAGCCTTATTCAAATGCCCTTCGTGCATACACTGATGAATTGAAGTAATTGTAACCCCAGCATCAACTTTCCTTATTCCGTTCAAGATATGATCCTTAACGAGCACATATGCTCTCTCTGTTTCTCTCAACAGCTTCGTATTCGGCCATTTAGCAGCTCCTCCTTCCTTCAAACGCTGATGTTTAATCACATCTACTGCTCCCACGGCTTTGCAAGAGGAACTCACTTCAGGCTCCTCCTCTCGCTTTCTCTTTAATGAAGCTCTATCAGTCTTAACTTCAATCTCAATCTTAGGATTGCAATTACTATTCTTATTTTTGTAATTGTAATTAATAATATGATCTTTTTCGTTTCCATATGCGGATTCCATAACTTCTTCTTCGCTGAAAAAATCATTAGGGAAAAAACACTTACCATTTTCATCGATCCAAGAGATTGACCGGCAATTTCCTGTCAGGTAATCGATCTGCAGCATCCTCTTCAAATCAAATATATACTTCGCACCGTCGATCCACGCTTCGACAATCGGTCTCCGCTCCAAAAAACCGGTTCGCAGCGTTTCAACAACATCAGCAGAGAAATTCACCCAAATACTATTGCGATAATACATGAACCGCGACGGAACGGCGCTTCGTTCGAAATTCCCGTTATTCTGAGAGAAAAACCGTTTCGAGCAACGAGATTGAAGGCCGCAGCAGCCGCCGCCGCCGATGCGTCTTCCTGGACTTTTCGATGAAGAGAATGATGGCGGTGGAGGAGGAGGAGCCCTAACCATAACAGATTCCACCACATTCTTCGTCGTCATCGTCGCTGTTGCTGCTCCTCTTTCAGCCATTTGAATATCTTGTAACTATAAATAAAAAAAAAAATTGCTCAAAAAATTCACAACTGCTGGAATCGACAATGAAATAATCAGAACACGCGTTATATAAACGCGTCGAAAGCCCGAAATCCGTATGTAAGTAGGACTGGGGAAACTTTTTTGAAATTACAAATAAGTCTTCGTTTCCAGAGACGTTAAGTTGGAGTGAAGGTACACGAATAAGGGTATTTTAGGTGATTTGTAATTTTTTGGGTCAAATTGAGGCGGTTGCGATTTCTGAGGCCCCAGAAAACATTCGAGAGCGAAGAATGGGCAAAGAGCAAACTTGCTGCCTAAGTAGCTTTCGCTTCGTTTACTTATTATACGCCACGTCGATTGTGCTTATTCGCCAATCTTTCTTCCTTCGGCCCAAAGAAATTTGAAATTTATTAGAAGAAAAAGAAAAGAGAAGAAGAATTTATGCCCTAAAAAAAAATCCTGGCTTTTGACTTTCTGCTTTCCTTCAATATTTAATAAAGTTGACTATCAGAACATTAGTCTTAATATTCTTTTTCGATGTCTTTGATTTTCGTTAATTAAATTATGGAGCTTTTATTTTTCTTATAAATGATTTGAAAACTGATTGATGATAATTTAATTAATGTTTTATAAAACATTTTCATATTAAATATATTATTTTTTTATCAAATTGGAGAAAAATCAATACATTAATTGTAATTGTCTTGTCTTAAATATTATTTTAACCAACCTCACAAGGTATCGATCTTTATATTTGACATCGACTAATGATTTTTTATTATAAAATATCATTCGAATCAGTACCATTAAGCATCCATTAACATTTTCCACTTATAAAACATCAATTTATTCAATGACACTCTATAAAATAATTTACCGATAAGTGTTTTAACGGCACTCTTTAAAATAGTTAGCATATTATTTATAGTAATATTTTTTTTAAATGAGTAAGGTTGTAATCGAATTGAATCGATACAATAAAAAGTTTGAGTTCGAATTCGACTCACAATTCGCGATTCGATATTCTATTCGAACTCGATCGAGTTTTATTTTTCAAGTTCGAGTTCAATTCGTCATCAAATTTGAACTACTCGAACTCGCTCGATTAATATGTAAAAATAAGTTCGATTCGTAACTTAACAAGAATTTGATTATTTATGTTCGAGCTCGAACTCGAATTCGAAATATTTTATTAATAAAAATAATAAAAATATATTTAAATATAAAAGCTCGATTAGGCTCGCGAGCCGAACTAACTCGAACCGGATATAAGAATACTCAAATTCGGTTCGATCGATAAGTCAAGCTACTCGACCTCGACTCGATAATAATCGAACCAATTCGATTTTTCTTCGAATCGAATCTGAGTAGCTTACGAGTACTAATGTATCATTTACACCTTATTTATGAGTAATGATTAAGAATGGTTAAATTATTATTTTATAAAAATATTTTCTATCAAACAAAAAATTTTGATCAAATAGCTAGGCTGAGATAATATTTAATTAATAAAATTTATTTTTATTTAGTTTTAAAATATAGTTAAAATAATTAAAATAATATTTTAATTTATTTTTTAAAATATTTGAACTTAGACCTATTTAAGAACAGAATTATTTGTCTAAGTTTAAAAAAAAATAAATAAAAATTTAAATTTATTAAACATAAATTTTAAATTCATTTAAATTTTGATTAAGATATTGAATAAAATATTTAAAGCTTAAGCCTGTTTAAATTAATTCATTTATATATAAAAAATAAAAATTATAATTATAATTATAATTTTTATATATATGTGAATTAAATATAATTTTATTACATATAATTTTATCATATTTTTTTAATTTTTATTATAAAAATTAAATTTAATGATTGAATTTAAAATTTATTTTTTAATTTAAACTGAACTTAAAAAATATTGAAACCCAAAAATTCAGATTAAATCTGAATAAATATATAAATTAATAATATCAAATATAAACTTTATTTCACTCATGAATATCCCTACACAATCCGACCCAAGTCTATTTCGTAAGAAATTACTATGCGTTGACATGGGAAGGGCTAAAAAAGCCCATTGCATCCTGTTGAAAAAGTCCATAATCCAAGCCGGAATAATCCACCAGAACCCGGTCCATCACACAACAGTACTATAGAAACTTAGTCCTAATAATCCAAGAGACTCTTCTCTGAAAAAAAGACCTCAATCTCTGTTATTATTTTCAATCCTCATTGTCCCTGAAGTTGTTAGTAAATTAATTTTCTTTTTGGGTTTTGCTTCTTTGAATCCTTGAATAAATGGTGAATTCTTTTCCTGCTTAATTGCTTAATACTCTTGTTTATTATTATTAGTATGAACTAATTGTTAGAGTTCGTTTCTTTATTCTATAGTTTTGAATGAGAGCTACATGAATTTTAAGTTTTAAATGGAAGTGTTAAGGGGTCCTAAAAGCTTGAATTCCCTGTTATTTTAAGGCTTCAACTTTATCTGGAGTAGACTATCTAGTCCCAGAAAATAGAACTTAAAGAATTGTGAGAATAGGATTAATCCATGGATTTTTTGTCTACCATTGATGTAGTATGTTCCGGATTCATTCCGATATATGCGGTATAAGTTTCAAGATAATGGGTTATTATAGGGGTCAGAATGGAAGTGGTGCTAGTTCTCAAAACTTGAGTCTTCCAGCTCATGCTTGTCTGATTAAAACTTTTGCCGTTGTACCAAACAATGTCCACTAAGTTGGTCCTTAGTATTTAAAAAAAAAAAAATTCAGTGTTGAAGAAAGATAGTAGGTCTATGCGAGGAAGCATAATATAGAACATGATATGTTGCGTTCTCAAATTAGAAGTGACAATTGTGTTTACATCTTGGTCTTTAGCTACATTATGGGCAACTAATTTAGAAGTTTTAATTCTTTTTTTGTACCTTAAAGTTGGGCATATAAGAGTAGAAATGTCTGATCGCATTTCTTTACGTGGAAAAGTTTGGAGATTGCTGGTGACTATAAATTGATGTTTTCATTTTTTAAGCGTTTAAGGGAAGCCAATATGCAAGACATTTCAAGGGGTCAAATTTTGGAATTAGGTGATGTTATTACCATTTAGTTAAGTAATGGGAAAAAGAAACAGACTTGTGGCTTTTTTTTTTGTCATTTTCTTTTTCCCCTTTTTCCTTCCGTCAAATGCCCTTGTGGATCTAAATTGAAAAATTGATGAATTTGAGATATTCAAGAATTGAATGATTTGTATCGTTGGTCATGTTTTCTTTGTATGTTCCAATTCTGTTTTATGGTATTGTTATTTGCATTTGAATGAAACAGGTATTTTTTTATACTTCTCAACCATGTCTACTTCATTGACACCTTCTAAGAGACCACTTGATAGGAACCCTTCATCAGAGTCAATTGGGAAAAGAAAGTTGCAAAAGTCGGGCCAATAAAAAATTTTGCCCGGTGATATTGTTTTCTGTGTACTATTGTCCTGCATCTAAAACTGGTAGTGTCATTGGCAAAGGTGGCACCATAATATCACAAATTCTTGTGCAAAGGTCAAAGTTGAGGAAGCAGTCTCTGATTGTGATGAGAGAGTAGTTGTCATCATGGGTTCTGAATCTTCCGGTAAAGAGACTGAAGTGGTACCAAGCAGGGGAGGGAGGATTGTCAGGAAGAGGCTAATGCAGCCAATCAGAGTGATGAAGAGAAGGAAAATGGTGAAAAAAATGATGATAAGATTTCTGATCCTGTGAAAGATTTAAAATCTGTAAAGGAAACTTCATATGTGCAGAAGGCATTGTTACTTGTTTCTGAAAGAATAGTTGAAGCAGAGTCAGATTCAGATGGAGTTGATGAGGACACTGTTAAGTCTTTCACAATGGTTTTAAGGTTACCTGTTCTTTCTAGTCAAGTTGGCTGCCTTTTTGAAAAAGGTGGCAGTGTAATTAGGCAAATGTCTGCTGAGAGTTGGGCATAGATTTGAATTCTTACCAGAGACAAACTTCCTCTCTGTGCTTCAGCTTCTGATGAACTAGTTCAGGTACTGTAGTTTCTATTCCGATATTACCCTTATTAGTATCAAATGTGTCACATAGTTTGATGAATGTAAGTTGAAGTGAATGTTAGGTTTATTAATCATGTCTTTTGTTTTGTGAAAAATTTTTTTAGACTTGAACTTTATTATGGTGCTGTTGCTAGTTTTAAACTTTTTATCATATGATTCCATGTGTGAATTAGGTGTCATTTATAACTTGTTATGGACTTTTATTTGGACTTATTACGTGGTTATGCTGTAGATTACGGGGGAGGTTGATGCAGTTAGAAAAGCTCTCCAATCTATTTCTCAACATCTTATGGAAAATCCACCTCAGGATCATGACTCTCTCTCTCAATGCAGCAGGACAGTCATCCCATTCATTTGGTCCTAGGCTTGAAGTCCACCCACCACCAACCCATTCTTTTAGTTCTCAAGGAGCAACCTTTGCTACAGGACTTCGAGACCTCAGGATGTTGATAGTCATTCATCTCTTTCTCCTCTTATCCCTGGTAGAATGATGCCTTCTTTGGAAATGCTAACATTCTGGTTATCATGTCATGATGAAAGAGTAGGTGGTGTTATTGGAAAAGGAGGAGCAATAATTAAGACTCTTCAGCAAGGTATAGGTTGTGAGATTAGAGTAGTGGAAGCTATTTCTGATTTGGAGGACCGCTTTATTGTCATATCTGGTCCAGCAGTATGATTTTCTCTGGATTCGTGTAAATGTGAATAGATTTTGAAAATTTGATCTTGGGTTCATGTTATGAATGGCCTCTGAATTATAATGAAATGTTTAATGTGGTACCAAAACTTTAAAAGTCTAATGTAGTACTTAAACTATGAATTTGTTAACTAATGTGGTACTCACCCTAATGTAGCTAACTCCAAATGATGACACATGGTGCACAAACAATCCTCCAAGTGCCACATTAGTTAACAAATTAATAGTTTAGTTACTATATTAAATATTTCATTATAGTTCAAGGACCATTCGTAACATTATCCTTTTGATCTTCTATTCCTTTATTGTTTAAGTTGTTAGTATTACAATGGGACTGATGATAAATTAATAAATTCAGCACCCAGATGATAGGATATCGGCTGCACAAGATGCACTTCTCCATGTGCTTAGCAGGACAAATAGCATACCTGATAGCAAGGACAAGACTATGATGGCAGGATTCTTGTATCATCTAATGAAATTGTTTGTCTCCTTGGCAAAGGTGGTGGCATCATAGCTGAAATAAGGAAGTTGTCTGGGGCTCATATTCGTATATTGGAAAAGGATCAGGTCCCAAAGTGTGCTTCAGAAGGTGAAGAAGTTGTTCAGGTTCGCTTATGTGTTTCTTTTAAGATGTATAACTTTGGAAATTTTGGTTTTATTATCATTGTTATTTTTCAAAGTTGATAACAATATCTTTGTGTTGGTTCTAAAGAAGTATTTGTGTATATTACCTACTCATATTGACAATTTCTTTGCTTGCTTTCTGATCCAGTATATTTTAGTTTTAGATTCAGGTTGTCTTTACTCTCTTTGATTCTTTCTTTTGTTATGGCAGATTAATGGAGAACCTGAAACTGTTCAAGATGCTCTTTTGCAAATAACAACTAGGCTGTTGCATCATTTGTTTCATGATGCATTTCCTTCTATTAACCATTCTTCAAATCCTGCCTTCTTGGATCAAGTACCTCCATTCACTTCATCTATGGGAAGGAGGGAATTTTCAACACCAGGATTAGGTCCATTTTACTATTTTGATGCTTTTGGTGGTCCACCTCCACACGGTGGTTTTCATCCCCATGATGACCATCTTTTTATGTGCAATATGCACCGAGCAGGAATGCCTCCTCATATATCTGAAAGAAAACCATGGGCCCTCATGTATTGGTGTGATATTATTGACTTGCGAAGCAAAAATTTTCTTTACTTATATAGTTAAGCAGCATGAGCCTCTGTTGAGTTTTTTCCAGTTGCCATGACATTTTGCAACATTTACTGGTGGTTTACTTTTTATCTGGCTATGTATGACTAAATGTTGGTGACTGCTCTAAAATTTGAAATGAGAGAAACAAATTGTAAAACAGGAGACTGATCGACAAAAATAAATTCTGTGACAATTTTATTTTGGATGTGAATTTATTTTGTGTTTCCTGTATTTTTTTGTAGGGATTTATAGGAATGCCAGATTTTGCTGGACCTCCCCACTGAAAAATTTTTGGTTTTGGAGAGTAAATTAATTGAAATTTGGCTGTTAGAAATTGTATTAGTTTACAAGTTATCCTCTGATGGCAATATCTCAGTTGTTTTGTTGTTTTCTTTAATCTATGGATACGTAGAGGAAGCCAACCAGCTATTGTTACAAGGACAACCGTTGAAGTTGTTCCTCATTCACTTGTTTCTATAATTTACGGAGAAGATGGTGCATGTTTAAAACAGATACGTCAGGTATGTTAATGAATCTGGTACTTCATTTTTAATTAGCGTTCTTTCCTTCTTTTATGCGGTAAAGGAAGCTTATTTAGACTCACTACCTTAAATTAAAAGGATAGAAACTCAGTTAATACAAGTAGGGGCACACTCATAACCATAATTGTGTTAATTTACACTTGTAAGCATAAAGAAATTGAGGAGGGAGGGGAGTCTAGGTCTATTTACATTGGATGTTATACTTGAACGTTTTTACCTTTTTAAGGTCATTGGTCTTCTGGTCATTTAAGAGTATGTCAATGAGTGTATATATATATGTATATATCCCTACAATCCTCTCAGCTGTTTCTTCACTTATATTTACAGGATAACTTCGTTATGATAATAATAATTTTTATGCATTACTCCTAATGATAACTATATTAAACATTAGTTTTATTAATTTTGGAAAAAAATCACTGTTGCTGATTTCTGATGCAAAAATTACAATTACAGAACCCAAGCTGGCAGCAACTGAAACTGCAATTATAATATCTAGAACACCAGAACAAACACATCTCTAATTCAAGCATTTGTGATGATTGAGACAGAAACTGCTTGAACATGGTAATAATCTGTGTAACTTCATTTAGTTAGCCATTGAAACTGGGAATGTTTGACGCTTGGTACAATTCTGCTTGATATATTTATTACAAGTTGTTTTATTACTGATGTTTCTAATTATTAATTCACGCTTTTGAAGGAACTGATTTGATGTATGACCCTTGTTCCACGGCTAAAACTCATCATGTGATCTGAAGATCATGCTCGTTGTACATTTCCAGGATTCTGATTTTACAGTTTTGTAAGTATGCTGAAACTTATTTGAAATTGGCTAGGGAATGACATCATACTTCGCAGATTAATTAGTCCCTTATGTAGACCATTCCTCTTCAATCTCTCGTGAGGAATTATACTAGTGAACAATTTGTACTTTGGTTTTTAACAGTTGAGAAGAAAGGAAACTAGTTTTGATTTTACATAAACATTTGGATTTGATGAGGTTTCATTTATAGTTAACATTCTTAAACATCATCAAGCATTGTCGCATGTTTTGTTGCTTTAGGTGTCACATAATTGAGGTTATTGTTAGCTATATATACGATAGAGATTAGAGAACATTTGGCATTTTGATTTTGTCTTGATAAATGCTTATAATTATACAATTTCAGATGGTGCTGTTTGCCAATAATACTGCTGTAACAAACACATCGCTAATGCATCTGTATCGATAAGAGGTTGATTCCACGTTGACATGGTACAATCAATTTTCCCTTGATCATCTGTAGTTGAGTATGAATTCTTTGCTGGATACAACTGTTTGTCCTGTAGAATAGTAAAAGTAATTATCTATGAACTAAAAATTTTGGTTATTTTAATCCTTGTATTCTCAAACTTCCTTTCAATTAAGGACAACCCATAGTAGAAATTTTGTCTTAACATTCTCTTTCAGAAGGTAACACCCTACAAGCAGATTTGCATCCGGAATACAGAAGAAAAAGAGAACAAATTACAGTTTCCACAAATTCTTTCTTATTGAACTATGATACATATTTCATAGAATTAAGCTGTAGGCAAGGATCATTACTGAGTCTGAAAGGGCTTGTATGTCTTGAGGCTTTGAATCAGTCCTTGAACAGATCCAGCAGCAGCAATGAGTGATACCACCAAGCAAATCCAGCTAAGTATTTTTAGCCATATCCACCTGAAGGAGTACTTGGGCATTTTCGTTTGTGCAATGTGCATCTCTATTGGAAAGTAGACTGTTAATGGCCAAAACGATCCTGCTCCGATAAGACCCAAGAAATCGTTGAAGAAAGGAAATATCATGGCTATCACGGCTGTCACAATAACGTATGCTGTCCTCCATACCAACCTGAAGAAGTTGATATAGTAAACACCGTAGAATGGAACATCAACAGCATGTTCACGTGTGATGAACTTGCTGTCAGGCCAGTGTCTGGAGCACTTGCCCTCGACGAACCCGAATAACGGTTGTGCAAAAACCTGGATATATGTCAATCATGTTAGACAAAGTTCGTCAATGGAATTGAACTTGTTTCAGGCTATATATATTTTTATTTTCTCAGGGATTTGAGATTTTACCTGGTATGCACCAATAAGATGGATGGCAATGCAGATGTTGGCAAAGTCAATCATCCAAAAGGGGTCATAGAAACCAAACCCTGTAAGGAAATTTCCCGGGGCATCGTTTCCGAATGCTGCATATCCAACAAGGCCACACAGTACATAGAATAAAGTGGTTGTTGAGACACCAATGCTAGTTGCTCTCTTCATAGATTTGTTCTCTGGTGGGCTGGATTTGATCGTGTCCTGAAATCATAAATTTCCATTAAAAAAATAAGCATGACTTTGAAAATGCACCTTATTGCCCTTTTTCAGCATTTAGATCAGCATGTATCAGTCATTTACTATTTTTTAAAATAGTTCCTATCAATTTGCGACGAATCGTGAGGCTTAACATTGAAAAGCGATTTTTTTTTTTTGAGATGGGACAAATAGAAATTTAATTAGATTTAAAATCGAGATAAATTTTTGATCGTTTCGAATTCGATTTAATTTTATAATAAAAAATTTAAAATTGATCAAATATGATTATTTAAAATATTTTTTATATTCGAATTCGATCTGATATCGTATAAATTATACGATCTAAAATTAATAAAATATTATTTTTTAAATATATAAAATTATATATAAATAAAAATTAAAAAAATAATTTTTAATATAATATCGAATCTAATTAGATTTATCTAAAATCTGAATCTAATTTTTTTTAATAATATCTTATCGAAATCTAAATTTTTTTTTAAAAAAAATTAACCTTATATGATCAGAATCGAAATTTATCAAGTTCGAATTGGGCTGTTACCTCTAACTAAATTGGACGTCACACAATCCGTCGCTAATAGGTTCATCGTAATGGTTGATAGCACATAAAAAAAAAGAAGGATGGTCGACAAAGAAAGAGCGAATTGGAAACGGTACAAATTGAGCTTTCAGTTCCTTTTTCCTTTTTTTGTTTTTTGAGAAAAGCCAATAGAATTAATGGCCCAAATTCTGAACCATTATGGTCCGCCAGATTTATGGTCCACAGGAATCTTTATAAGTCGTCATCCCACAGGCTACAATAACCAAAAAACAAACACAACAAAATGTCTTCCTCTTTGTCAAATCCTCTTTGATCTTTTTATTAACTAATATAAAATAATAAAAATATTCCCAGCCCTCCATCTCTGAAAATTCAAGCTGAAAAATGCAAATCGCCTTCTCCTAATTCCTACTCCCACTGGCCCCCACATCTTAGGACCGCCACCGAAAGGCCGTTTCAATGTTTTTCAGTTTTCTTTTTATAGTCATTGCCCTTTCTTTGTTATTTCTTTTTAAGATTCTTGCAAGTATAATTTCACATGATACGTTCTTAGATAGACATAAACGTATAAATCTCCATCACATTACCTAACAAGCAATGATTTTTAAAGGGTTTTCTTTATGTGTAAGAAAGAAGAAAATGAAAGACAACCAGACAAGAATTATTTTCGAACTACCTCTATTTCGTGCCGACATTTAATTTAGGCACACATTTCAACTTCCATGCATTCAGCGCATCATCTTGTTCCATTTTTTTAAGTATATATAATAAACAACAACATGCTCCATATGCTACCTCCATGCCAGCACAATTAATGCATATATTTACTTACAATTATACATGCAAAAATACTTATAACGTATGTATATTATACGTATATACACATATAAATACATGTACGTAGTTATTTGGATTTAGATGCAGTAATAAATTAATGGGATGGTGAAAGTATACTTGCCTGAATCTCAATAAGGACGGTGGAGTAAGCGTAGGCAAAGGCAATGTCCCCGATAGCTTGGAATGTCCTCCAGACCTTTTCAGATCCTGACACGTCCACCCCTACTGTCACTCCAGTTAAGGTTGTCCTTGCGTGTTCCCCACCTTGATGTTATAATTCACGGAACAATTAGATTTTGGATGAAATTCAAGCCATTCAAATCGAATAAATAAAACAGAAATGCATTATTGTTTGTTGTTTTATGTGGATATGGGGGCTTTTCTGTCTTTCTTATCAACTGTTTGTTATTACCTGCAACTTTGGCTATGGAGAGTCCAAGGCCAATGGAAGAATAAGCGAAAGACATGATGGCTGCAAGAATTGAGAGCCATGAAAGCTTGTGGAAGTTTGGGATTTGGCTCAGAACGATCTGGATGCAAGCAAAGATGACCATGAAAGGGTAGTTTGATGTTTGGCATTTCACATGATGGCCATGCTTGTGGAAGCAATTTGACCTTTTGACGGCCCTGATTTCAAGCGAGAAAAATTAATATCAGACAACAAAACAACAATTAATAAAATCATTGTCATAAATTCTCAATGCTTTAGTCAAAAAGGGTAGTTTAACAAGTAAGAGAATTTCAGACTTCAAAATTTCAAAATCCGTTCTTTTGACTATAGACTTACACCATACTAATTGATGCTGTGATAGTGTAACCAACGGTTACTCCAATAAGATTTCCATACTGAGCCAATCCACAGAGCTGGACTTTTCTTCCTCCTGGGAAAAGAAAAAAAAAAGCATCGAATTTGATGTTTCATTAATCATCCTGACAACAGCCCAGTTGGATTTTGGGATTGAATTGAAATATTTACATGAGGAAGTAATTTCTCTTTAAAATATATTTTCTTGGAACCGTAAACAGGTTACTATGTACATATATAGTAAACTATTAATATGACAATTAAGTGCTGATATTATTGCCTTAAGCATTAATATGAAAATTAAGTGCTGATATTATTACCTAAGTAAGCTCTAACAACATCCATGTAGGTGTAGTTTCTCTTTCCATGGACAGGATCAGGAGCCCTGTAGCAATCAACAAGAAGTGTGGAGGTGAAGTAGGTGATGAAGGAGAAAGCCATGAGAACAGCTGGTCCAGCCACCCAACCCAACTGGGCAATAGCCCATGCAAGAGATAGCACTCCAGAGCCAATCACAGCAGTGATAATATGAGCACTTGCAGTAAGCCAAGTCCCTTCAAATCAAAATCCAAAGCCACATCAAAACAAATTCACATAACATAAAACATGCAAAGAAGGATAATAAGCATTTCAGGGGGAAAAAATTAATAAATAATTACCGGTTCTTTTTTCACGACCATCATCATCCAAGTTCTTTTGGATATCACCATTCTCATAATCTACAGGGTTATGCTGAATGAACATGCTAGTCTTCTGCATCTCCCTGGCCATCTCTGCCTCTCTTTTCTCCAGCTTACTGAGCTGTTCAAGCTAAAATGATTAATGAAGAGAACAAGAGAAGACTATATATGGGAAAAGTGAGCAAGAGGAGGAAGTGGGGCAGTAATGAAGAAAGTAGGATGTTGAGGAAATGGTCAAACAAGGGGGTTGGTTTGTGCCATGTCACCAAGCAGGATAGGCAAGGAAATAAATGATACGCTAAGGATAGAATCTAGGACAGGAAACGAAAGAAAATTAAAAGCGGGTTTAAGCCTCTATAAGAAATGATAAGGAGTTCAAATAGAAAGCAAGCATATATAGGCTTGGTTGGAACATGGGGAATGGAATTATTGACAGGGCTTTGGAGCACAATCGATGGTCGTCGTTTGTGTTTTTGGGTCTTCTCATACGGGCGGTCCCCACACTTTGGTTTTGGGAAATATGTATTACATGGTAACCATCCATTGTGATATTGCAAAGCTAACAAATCTGGTTTTGACTATGCCACTTTCTTCACTTATAAGTCGGTTCCCTGATTTTGGCTTTCGGGTAATAGCAACTTGTAATCCCCAAGACACTGCGGAACACACGTAATTAGAAATTGACCGTACCCTCCATATGCGATGGTGATGAGTATCAGATGCAGGCAAAGATCATTTTTTAAGCCTAAAGTGCTCAAAGTAATGGTCCTAATGGATTCTTTGATGAGGTATTAGGCGAATCAGGCCACACCCTTGACTTCCAAGTGATCTAATAATGATAATTATAGCAATTTCTATACAATTAATTTTTTAACCGACTAAACATTCCACGACTACTAAGTTTTTGAATTGAATCCATGTGTTTCTGAAAGATTACAAGAACAATAAAGCTAATCCCAACGAGTAAAGCAAATGATTCTTGGCGCATCCATGATCACTATTATTGTTGTACAAGAGTCGGCCCCTATGTTGGAGGGAGTAAACGATATTGTTTTCTTTTCATATATCTTGGATCCAATAGAATTTCTTGCTTTATTTTATTTCAAATCTCTTCTCCGATTGTGCTATACTCTATATAATTAGTTGCCCAAGCATTTACTAACATCAGCCACGGTCCATGGAATTTGGCAACCTTGTAGCACAACCGTGAACCGTGCTTATAATGGGGGCTCGATATAATTATATATTCCATGACTTTGTTCCTTGATAATGGCCAGTTTTTACATTTCATAGGTGACAATACATTATAGATCAATGTGGCCTGGTATTACATCCCCTACAGTTATATCCTGACTTTCTTATAGGCAACGTTAGGCTTACAAAATCATGGTCCCTTTTCTGATATATCTTGGTACAATAATCCCTAGCAGACTAAATTCCCCTATACCTAATTTTAGATATTTTTTCTATTCATTGATGTAATAGGAAGTATCTTTGGATTTTATTTTTTCTTCACCTAATTTCATATATATATTTTTTTGTATAAAATAAGTCCAGGTCTAAAAGAAATTGAAAAAAAAAATTTCAAGAGTTGGGATTGAATTTCACATTTTAAGAGAGATGGATGAATTATTTAGATTAAACCCTAAATTCATAATGCTGGAAAGTTTGACTATGAAAAAAGAGCAAGGCAATTTTGTTTGTTTGAGAACTCGAGAAAAGATGTAGCGAATGAAAAATCAATCCTGTCATAAGGCAATAACCATCAAAAAGATTTTCACTATCTGATGACTTGGTTGGCAATTTCAACATTCTTTTAAAGCGTATGGTTGTTCCAGTTAATCAAAGCTGATCAATTAAACAAATGATACCAGAGAAGAGACATCCCCATCAAATTATAACGAAGGCAAAAAACATAAACGCTAGAATTGTAAGTGAGATGTCATAATATTATTGTCTTAATTCTCAACGCAACAAATATTCTACAAAGAGACAATGTTTTGAAACCAAAGCATTAAAGATATGATGCGAAATTAAATCAGAAAATGACAGGCTGTTATTATTGACTCAACCCTAACCAGCAGTGCTTATTTGAAGTTGAGAGGACAGTGGAAATTTTGTACTATTGCTAGGAATATATTACGTGTCACTAGTTGCCGCGTCTGGCTAGTTGCTAACCATTTTCATTTTTTCATCAGAGACATCGGACTGGGACAAGATCGCTGAAGCAGAGATAGTCCTTTGTTTTCATTCCATTCTTTTCCATTTCTTCTTCGTGTTCACACAAGTGAGCAATGGATTTGAATTATTGATAGCAGAACAGTGTTTCGAATGACTTGAAATGGTTGTTAATATAAGTGGAATTTGGATTCACGAGGCTGAAGTGGGTTGACTTCATTGATCTTGAATTGACTAGTAACAAACGTGAAGCACTTTCACTTGAAGTCATGAGAAGTTGGACTTTAACTAAAACTTGCTTGGTGCATGAACAACACGAAGTAAATACAAGAACTCATAGTTTAGTCAGTTGATTTATTTAGCATTTTTAAAAAGACTTTCTTTTTTACCAAAAGAATTATGAGAATCAAGAAGTAGAAGTAGCTTAGTTCACTGATTCCGATCGTAGGTAAGATTTTCAATTATAAGATATTTTTGCTTTGTATCAGGTTGAACTGTCGTTCACTGTGACCATCACCACCACCACTTATATTGTAATAATTGTCATGTTTACAACTCCCATTCGTTCATCTTAATTTGTACTTTTCGCACATATGGTGTGGGTGCCCGGCAACACAAAGTTGGTTCAATTGAACAATTATGGCAAGACGCCTCAATAACATGATATCCTCAAAATTTCAGTATTGACAGCTCTCCAAATTGCAAGGATAGGACAAATTTTGAGGTCTCAACAAAAGGGTAGGAGACATCAATAACAATAAAACCTGATAAAGAAAATAACAAGGAATCCTGAAAAAAAATGAAGAGAATATTTAGATGTGGGGGTTACAAAAGATTAGATGACAAAGAACAATACATGAGCTCAAAAGGATGCCATATATATGACTTTTTGGCCGAAGCAGCCCACGAGTAACGCTTGAGTGTATCTTATCACCAGCAGCTTATTGCTTTTGCATAAAAGTATGGCACCAAAAGAAAAAAAAAGGGTCCCCTTAACTGAGGCGTGCCATTCTTGGATTGGGACGGCAACATTTTGTGCTCACAAGCTTGCTTCTAACCCAAAGTTCTCCCCCCCCCCCCCCACTTCGGACAACAGTGCTGCTAAACCGCAAGAAATCTGTTCATGTACGAACAAAAGAGGAAACTGAATTTTCCATGGATTAATGCTACTTAGAACATTAACTTTTGATTTTGGTCAATAATATTAGCGAGGGACCATGTTTGCAATGACATGTCTCAATTCTGTTGTCAATTTTTTCTTTTCTTTTAGTTCGCATCTTCTTTATGTCAATCCAAATACCAATCTAATCCACTCAAGTCTAAGTCAACAAGGTTTTTCCTGGATACGCACAGGAACATTCCCAGCTTGCGTGGTTTATCAAAGCTTTGCTTTAGATGGATGATTATGAATTATGAGGAAGATAAAAAATGCCAAAAGCCTTTTATTCTTTTGTATATGTTCCCTCACATCAAAATTATAACCCCCCAAAAAATATTGAAGATCGATGAATTGTCCATGGAAAGGAGTGTGCAGAAGAACAAATTCTCATGTCAGGATCCTTAGACTGAAGCACTAGCGATTAAGAAGAATCTTTTGCTCATAATCATTCACTTGAATAGTTGGAGATGATATCGCTCTAAAAAATTTGATTAATGTGAGAATAAAATGAAACCCAATTCTTCATCTGCTTTTTTTTTTTGCTTTGTTTTCTTTATTCAGTACGGATTCTGCCTAAATTCTTTATTACAGCTCCTTAACTTTGGTGCTTCTGCTTCTTGACGTGACCCTGGAATTAGTGCCAATCAGCTGGAGACCTTTTAGATCAATTTGAGAAACTGCTTTTCATTTTTTTTTTTTGCACATGTTAGTATTTCATTCGTTGACCATAAAAGAAAAGGAAAAAAAGAGACCTAAGTATTTTTGTAGTGCAAACTTACCGGAACGAGGCCCATGACATGTACAAAAAAGGTCCAATCATGGAGACAAAAAGAGAATGGCCTCCATTATCAGAGCTGTAAAGCCTTCGAACTCACCATTATTTCAAACTGAACCTCAGCCCTCAATTGAATATTTGAAAGTTCTAAGTCAGAGCTGTAACCCAATTGCCCACTTTTTGGATAGACTTTCCTAGTAGCAGATTCTAGAGTTTGTATTAAATCCCATAACGTGCTGCCATGCTCATGACCATCCAAAGAAATAATAACTGCCAATTATTTTTCTTTCAATTAACAAAGTTTGAGTTTGGGCCCACCCTAGAGCCTTAGCCAGTATTGGTCCAAAATTGGCAGTGAAACTTTTTGACAAATACCTTTGAAATGTCCCCCTAGGTTTGTTGCATAAATACTTGTTACTCTAATCTGTCTTCTTCAATTTGGCTCCTCATTATTTCCTTGGAACAGCTCTGCTTTTTTGGCCTTTCCTTCAATCATCACCTAATTTAATGCCTTAATTTCCTCCCTTGCGGACGCAATGAATGACTAAAATCAGCTTTAATTCATTTAAATTAAATTTATTATAAACTATTTTGAAAATTTATATTAACTTTTAATATTTTAAAAATAAAAATAAAAATATGTTAATATAATATTATTTTAAGTTCAAATATAACGATTTAATAGACCACTCAATCCATAAACAAGTAGTCATAAATAACTGTTTTAAAAACAAAATATAAAAAATCCTAAATACTACTTTACATTTATTTATCTTTACTTGTACGATAAATACATCAAGTTTAATTGAAAACTACTAAATGTTGAGATTTTTCAAATATTAATTTTTTATAAAAAAATTCTAATTTAAAATAAAAATATGAAAAGAAAAAATAAATCCCAAGTCATAAATAAGTAATTAATTAACACATGGCCTAAGCCTTAATTAACTCTTAAGTTTAGAATGGGCGGGTACATAGAGGAAGGGAAGACCCGAACCAAGACCCAGGTTAGATGCGAGAAGGGGCCGTTGCTGTTATTTTTACCATCGTTGTCCGGTCTGGTTCGACAGAGTTGGGCGCGAAAACAAGACAGGCTCGTGTGTTTTGCGTGCTTCAACTGCAGAACACCACGTTAAAAGAGGACATCATCGTAAAATTACTACCAACATAAATAAAAAATTAAAAATAGTAACTTAGAAAAAAAAAAAAAAGATCACCGTTTTCCACGAGAACACGAGATCTCTGTTTTTCATTTCCATCTCGTTTTATATTTTCTGTCCTTTCTTAATAATCTTTTTTTTTTTTTCTTCATCTGTAGCTATAACGCCAAAAAATCTGTAAACCCTAGCCTTGGTGTTTTGTTGCACAAAAGAAGTTGCAGATCTGAGCCCAGGTTTGTCCTTTTGTTTCTTTCTCGTACTTATCATTGGCTTTTCCAATATTCGCGTTTATTTTAATTCAATCATCAATTCCATGTCCTTTTTTGATTTATTTTGTTTTATTTTTTGAGGTTGTAAATTAACTTCATAATTTTCTTCTGAACAAAGCTAGTTCCATTCTGTTAATAATCTCAAAGTGTCTTTTTTTTTTTTTGTTAAAGAAAATAATTACCTAGGTTTAAACAGCAATGTTGTTATAAAATAGGGGCCTTGGATTCAAAATAATTAAGTGTTTTATTAGCACGATCATTTTTAAATTCTACTTTGAAGTTCTGGAAAAACTACGCTGTTAGTAATTTTGGAATGATTATTTATGTTTTAAAATTTTGTTTGTTTGTTTGCTAAAATTCCTTGTTTACAGCTGCGAAAGACAGTGGATCATATAGGGAGTTATTAAAGTCTACTTTTTAATGCGTGGTTCTTTGTTCTTTGATGATTCTATGAGAGTCAAATGAATGTGGTTCTGCGAAGGTCGCTGGATAGTGTTACTTCGGAGTGAAAAATAAAGAGGGATGCAAGATTTGTGGATACTTGATTTTGATTACATATGTTACGACGTCTTGGGTGGTTAATTGGTTTCAATAATAGAGTTGGACAAGCGAAGAAGTTACCAGATGCAAAGCCAGACCCGGCTAAAGTACAGCCGGTGGTCATGTTGGACACTGTCCAGGAGATTGCTATTTACATCCATAGGTTTCATAACCTTGATCTTTTCCAGCAAGGGTATGGGCCTTTTTTTTTTTCATTTCTGTTTATTTTGAATGGTGCATATCATCCTTCTTATGTTTCTTGTTTGTTTAGATGGTATCAACTTAAGATTTCTATGAGATGGGACAATGATGAGCATGCTTCTGTAGGAACGCCTTCAAGAGTCATGCAATATGAAGGTAATTTGTTGAATTATGGTGGCTTTTTCTTCTAATGCTCATTATCCATTTGCCTCCATTCCTTTATAGAAAAATATAACAATCGTCTTAAGGTAAGAAATTTGCTATTTGTTATTCTAGTCTAGAACATTATATTATTAACTTATAAAACATTCGAAATGTAGCTTCATTCAGGCATTTTGTATCGAAACTGGTCCCTCTTGAGTCCTAAACAGGAACCTTGCAGTTTTTGAAAATTGGGAATTGTCACTGCTATAGAAGAATATGCTATGTTAGAAGATTGATTGATCAAAATATATTGATGCAGTTGAAGCAAACAAATTTAATATCCTCTATATACTTAATTAAAACTTGACGATTGGTTTTCGTCTTGTTCAATGGTTAATATATTTGGAATATTTATTGTTTTCTCCTAGTTATTTATAAGTTTGTATGCTACACTCTCAAAGCTTGATGTAATAGTCTAGCATTTTTCTTAACAAGACTAGAAAAATGTTGCAGCTCCAAATCTTGGTTCTGATGATGGATATGGAGTATGGAGGATTGATGATACAGACAACAGTTTTGCAACACAGCCTTTTCGAATCAAATATGCAAGACAGGATATTGTTTTATCTATCATGGTTGCATTTGATCTACCTCTTACTGAAAATGAGGTAAGGAATCTCTTTTTTGGCTCTTTGCATGAACCCACATTCGCAATCAAAACACCCTTTTAGCAATGGAGTGAACCACATACATCACCAGAACTTACACAGCTCTAGCCTGCCTGTACCACTGATTCACATATCATCATTAGGAAATATATCACTAAATGTTAGTCTATGAGAGGTTAGATGCTTTGCTCTTTTAATGCTAATAGATGCTAAAATCTCCACTCAAACCATCTGGAAAATAGAAATGACATTGGATTTTCCTGAAAGTTATGACTTTCACCGGTATTTATCTTCATTTGATTTTGGTATTTATAAAGGACATGCATAGAATCTTTCCTACCTTGATTGGTTTGGCTATTGTCGAGCCATTAAAGGTCAATATTTTTTTTTATCCTATTATGGTGCTGATGTAGCAATATCTGACAGGGTCCTTTCTCATCAGCTGTCATTTTGAAGTTTGAGCTTCTATATGCTCATGTATTGGAGAATAGGTAAGATGAGAAGTCCTGTTTTCATATGACTGCATGATTAAAATTTAAAGTTGTTCTTGTTTTCCTTATGTGTGTGGATATGTGCACGTGTGCATGTGTTTCATTTCTCTCATTATTTTCTGATTCAAGTTGAAAGAGCCAGTAATAGATTGTAATGCACTGTATTCAGTTCTGAGTTTCAGGCTTCTCCAGATGGTTGCCCTGCTGCTGTCCATGAATTCCGGATCCCTCCTAAAGCTCTTTTAGGACTGCATTCCTATTGCCCTGTTTATTTTGATGCATTTCATGCTGTTCTCGTGGATGTAAGTGTTCACATCAGTTTCCTAAAAGCTGGTTCTCACAAAGGCCCAATGAAGGTACCCAGGTTTGTTACAGATTCTAGAAACAACGATGGCTAACCTTCACACCAGTCATATTCCTTTCATCACCCCCCGTTTTGAACCTTCTTTTGGGGTGGTTGTGCGGGGAGGTTCTTAATGGAAATGAGAGAAGGGGAGAGGATTGTTTTATTTATAAAGTAAATTTTGTTCTGTTGATATGTTGGAGTAACTTGACCTGTTGAATTATTTCAGCGTTTCTAAAGGTGCCAGTGACGATGTTGCTGGCGAAAGTATTGATGGATCTACTCAGGTTTGTTCTAAACATTGAATATTCATATACAGTAACCCATCCCTAATCACAGCTTGATCTATTTGGCATCTGTTTGATTATGGCTATACATTCAATATATTTTTGGTGGCAATGGTGGAAGAAAAAAGAATGTGGCTTTGGGAATATTGCACATATAAATGTTTTATGGCTACAATATAATCTAAAAATGTAGCATACTGGGTGTACACATGTGGCCACAATTTAGGACTGCAGTTAAAGTTGATACAATAATAAAAATTAAGTGTTTATTGCGGGGGTTAGTTTATTCATTGGAGTGGTGGAAATTGTGGGTGTAATACAGTGATTGGAATTTATGAATATTACGAGGCTTGATTATTTAAGATAAGAAAGTTTAATATAGCTTTTTTGGGTTTTGATTTTAAGTTTTATGGGTTTGATAAAATTTTTTATTTTGGGGGATAAAATCATTAGAATTTCTTGAGGATTTACTTGAGCAATGGTGGAAATTCATCTTCTTTCTTTAATGTGGCTTCTTGTTATCCTTGATAATCAATATTCTTTGTACTGATAGTTCAATTATGTGATGGACCAGGCACTGGATCAAGCGGCTTCTACTGACCTGAAACAGGTCATGCTTGTTAAGGCATTATTAGATGCTTGTGACACACTGCTCGCAGAGCTACAAAAACTTGGCAATGCTATTAACCAAGCTGTTGATTTGACTGAATTTACATCCAAAATGAACGATATAAAGTTATTTGATTCCTTTCTGCAAGCAAATCAGGTTACTGCTGATGCTGAAGTTTCCGGACAAGGCAAGCTACAAAATGGTCTTGAGGTCCTTGCTTTATTTTATCCAGCAGCATACTCTTATTCCTATTTTTCCTTTTTATGTTTTTATAGTTTTAATTATATATTAAAATTATAATACCTTCCTCTCTTTAACAGAGAGTAAATGGCAGATTAGATTTTCAAAGTGATAGATTGCTCCAGAACTTATCCAAGGATGATGTAATTAAACTGTTTAATCTATCGGGTGAACAAGTGGTGTATTTGTGGAACACTTTTCTGAATTTCCACAGGTTAGCTTATACATTTTTACTTCCAGTTGTTTCTGCTTTTAGTAGAAATTTTATCCCCAGTATTGTAGGCTTGTTATGCTCAGTATCCCTTTTATTAACACTTAGTCTTTTATATCATCTTAATATATTACTCTTGGCCTCTATGTGTTTTACCTTCCAAGTTATTATCCTTATATGTCTGGAATACTGAGAATTTTAAATTCCATGCAGAACAGTAGTGGAGCAATTAAAACTTTCCCAATTGGGTTCAGCTCACATGGTCAGGGTGGGGTGGTGTTTTGGTAGGAAAATCTTAGGTTCAAACTTTAGTGTTTCCCCTTGTACAAAACAAAAAACCATTATACCTATGATAGATGCTTTTTAATTTTAGCCTTCAAATTGAAAGAAAGATTTTTCTATATTAATGAATTAAGAGGGTGTCCTTTGAATTGTAATTTATATCAAAGCTAATTCTTTCTGTGGACATTTGATATTTCTGGTTGACTTGCACATGGCATGCTTGAACTGGTTTTTTGACTGCATATGTTGGTGAAACTTTTGCGGGTGTGGTATGTTTGATGCTGTACCTTGACATATCTCAAGCAATTTGGATAGCATCAAGGCATTTGTTGTGACACTGTTATGCTTTTGGGATTATCAACTTGATAACTAAGGATGCCAGTGTGTTGAGGTGTGGTTAAACTCAAAAGTAATTTTTCTGGATAATCTAATGGAACAATGTCATTCACTTTATTTTCCTTTCAATATTTGTTTGGACCTCCCCTTATTTGGACTTTATTAATTGTTTCATCCCCAACTACTAATTACTAGTCAACAGAAAAGATGAGTTGAGCCCGTTAATATAGCTTTCATAATATCCGTGCTTATTTTAGGTGTTGAAATTGCATTTTGTTCCAGGGATAATAAAACACAGATATTGGAATTCCTTCGTGATGCATGGGCTAAGGATCGAAGAGCTGAGTGGTCAATATGGATGGTTTACTCTAAGGTTGAAATGCCTCATCATTATATAAATGGTGGTTTTGATGAGTCTTCCCATCAAATTGTGCATAAGAGGGGTTCAAGTTTGTGGAAGATAACTGATGATGTAAATACTCGTATATGTTTTCATTGTGTAAATATGGTGCTCTTGGCTTACATATTCAGTGATGAGCAACAATAGTTTTTTCACTTGTTAGTTTCTAATTTTGGAAATTTGATATTGTACAATGCAGCCTGCCCAGATGGCAGCTATGCGGGCTGAGCTTCATCGGCGAAGTATTGCACAAATGAGGGTAAGGTCTTGTATTTAATGCTTATTGTCTTTATTGCCATATACCTTAGTTTACCGGCAACAATTGTTTGCACACAGATAAACAATCGATCAATCCAAGACATGCAAATATTTGGAGATCCTTCAGGAATTCCTATTGTAATTATAGAACGTGTAATGAATGCACCTCGTCGGACTTTTAGTGATAACTCATACTTGAGGAATTTGGACATAATGAATTTAGCTACCTCATGCACTGTTCCTGAAGCTGGGAAAAAGATATTAAGTACAATCGCTGAACAAAATGGGCGTGATTTGAAGATTGTTGTCTTTGTGCATGGATTTCAGGCAAGTTTTGCTTACCTATCCTTGTTTCTTTGGCTGTAGTTTTGTTGCCTTAATTTGGCCTAGTCTATTCCCAATGAACCATTTGACTCTAGTATGTTTTAGTAAACTCCTTAAGTAATTTTTATGCACCTCGAAGGGCACGTGCAATTATGACTTCTCAAAATTGAAGATACGAGTGTCTACCAATCAGTTTAGAGTGCCAAGTTTTTTCTTTTTTTTTCCTTGTTAGGTTCAGCATTGTTGTATTAAAGACAGATTGGTAAGTGAATTAATGTCTAATCCCAACTTGAATATATAGGGGCATCATCTGGATTTGCGGCTTGTTAGGAACCAATGGCTTTTGATAGATTCCAAGATACAGTTTCTTATGTCAGAGGTAAATGAAGAGAAAACATCTGGAGACTTCAGAGAAATGGGACTTAGGCTGGCTCATGAAGTGATTTCTTTTGTTAAAAAGAAAATGGATAAAGTTTCAAGATCTGGACGCATAAGAGATATCAAACTTAGTTTTGTTGGGCACTCTATTGGAAACATCATAATCAGAACAGCATTAGCAGGTATATGGTATTAGCTAAAGTTATGTTTCCCATTTTTACTATTTTGAAATGTCTTATAGATATGTGCATTTCTTTCTACAGAGAGTGTTATGGAACCTTACCTGAGATTCCTCCATACATATGTATCTCTATCTGGTCCACACTTGGGATATCTGTACAGTTCAAATTCTTTATTCAATTCTGGGCTGTGGCTTTTGAAGAAGTTCAAGGGGACACAATGCATTCATCAGCTAACTTTCACGGATGACCCAGATATCCGTAACACTTTCTTCTACAAACTTTGTAAGGTATTGAGAACAAAGTTGCATTGTGGTTTGAGATTTTCCATTCTTCCTTTTAATTACCTTCTTTTGTTTTGATTTAGAATTTTGATTATGTAAGAACTATATATATATATATATTTTTAAGCTCTGAAGTTCTGAAATGGTTTGTTTCCTTCTTTCAGCAAAAAACTCTGGAAAATTTCAAGAATATAATCCTCCTTTCTTCACCCCAGGTATTCTGTGCCTCTTGCAGATTATTTTTCTTCTTGAACTTGTTACAATCATCGGCTGTTTGTGAGTTTGGCAAAATTTGAACAGTTCAATCTAGGAGTTTTAAGTGATAATACAATAACTGTATAATTTAAAGGTTCATTAGATGTTCTATGTTTTCCCTTCTGTCCATAAGGTCATTGACAGATGACTTGTCTCACAGGATGGTTATGTTCCATATCATTCTGCCCGAATTGAGTCATGCCGGGCAGCATCAATGGACTACTCCAAAAAGGGAAAAGCATTTCTGGAGATGTTGAATGACTGCTTGGACCAGATACGGGCACCTACCTCTGAGCATCGGGTGTTCATCCGTTGTGATGTCAACTTCGACACATCCTCTTATGGGAAGAACCTCAACACGTTCATTGGACGAGCTGCTCATATTGAGTTTTTGGAGTCAGACATTTTTGCTCGGTTCATAATGTGGTCATTTCCAGAACTATTTCAATAATTATTGCTGGGGTCTGTGGTTTCTGTCGCCCCACCTTCTCAAGCCTGGTATCCAGATTAATTACCAATTTCAGAGCCTGTGATCTCTGTTTCCACTTTTCAAGCATCACATAACAACATTCGCCACGTTTTTTGTTCCAGGGTGGATAGATGCATTGAGATGGTGGCCGCTGTAAACTATTGGATTCACGATGCTTCTGTCAAAAGGTTGTGTATGTATCTTGATCTAGCTGGACTTTTTCCTCTACCCATAGTGTTGTTGGCTCAGCATATTTTACATTAAAATTGAAGTTAGATATCGTCTAGAAAACTAGCTAATGTAAATCCAGTAGGTTAGATTCTTGTTTTCAGTTTTACTTAATGAGTCGGTTCCTTCGTATCACAGAGATGATCATGCATGTAAACAGGCCGAATCTTGGGAATGGATTCAGCAGACAAATAGTGCAGACACAGCTAAAATTCTAGTTGGACATCATCATCTTCTACTTGTGTGAATATTAATTATGCTGACTTTTCTCATCTTTGCCGCTGCTGCTAAATGCCATCTCATTTGTACAATTTTAGTTTTTTCTAAACAAAAATCCTAGCAATTATATTTCATTGCACTAAAACTCTTAAGACAAAACCCAAATAATCTCATAAAGTAAGTGTTTAAAGCTGACTATGACTTCGGTGATTTAAAATTCTGTTTCCAAATTCCAGTTTATGAGATTTCAATTTTTAAGTTTTTCAAATATTATTTTAAGATGAATGAGTACTGGAGTTGATTTGAATCGCAGTCCAAAAAGAATAAAAAAGTTATGTTTATTAGAATGGATATGCTGACGTGGCATAACATTATCGGCGAACTGACATAAATTCCCCGACCGAACGGAATTTAACGTCAACTTGTAGAGTCCGGAAGTTTAATGTCACTAGGTTTCTGTTTGGAGGAAGGTGGACCAAATTTCAACAGGAAAAAAATTAATCCCTTATTTGGATAATGATGATTGGATAAACATTAGAAAAAAAAAAAGGAAAACTATTTAGAGATCTTTTATCCAAGCAAAAATCTCTCATATGCATATCTACTGTTTCCATCTCATACAAATTCTGGTTTATACTTGGTAACTGTTTTTAATTACCTTCGCCTATTTAACCAAAATACCAGAGTCAAGCTTGCATTGCCGCTTCCTCTTGATTTCGGTTGACCACAAGAAAGCTTTTGAGGCCTTGGGGTAGCTTTTTGTTTTCAACAATGGCGGATTTATCTCTTCCTCATGACGCCCTGTTCCTTGGATTTGACAGCTCTACTCAGTAACTCTCTCTTTTATCTCTGTTTAGTTTCACGATCCAATATCATTTAAGCAAAAATTGAAAGTACCCATTTGGCCAAGTTGTGTTTTTTATTCTTCTAATGTTCAAAAAATTGATTTTTTTAAATTAAAAGGTCGAAAATTTGAGGCCGTTATAATTAGGGTTTAAATTCTTAGCGAAGAACTAAAAGCAGCCAAATTGTGTATTTGTTCTTATGCTGTAAAGAAGTTTGAATTTTTGAAGCTGTAATGATCATGGTTTAATGCTTATCCAATTGGATTTGGTTGATGTTTTGTTGTTCTTGAGAATTCTGATATTTAAAAAATTAAAATCTATCTACGCTGCATTGACAATTTGAGATCACTTTTGATCTTTTCTTTTCGCCCCTTTTGTAAAGGTCGTTGAAGGCAACTGTTTTGGACTCCAATCTCGTTATTGTTGCTTCGGAGCTAGTTCACTTTGACTCTGATTTGCCTCATTACAAGACCAAGGATGGAGTTTACAGAGACCCTTCTGTTAATGGCAGAATTGTTTCACCTACCGTAATGTGGGTGGACGCTTTGGATCTCATTCTTCAAAGACTATCTAAATCTAATTTGGATTTTGGGAAAATTGCTGCCGTTTCTGGTAGTGGACAGCAACATGGCAGTGTTTATTGGAAGAATGGCAGTTCTTCGTTATTATCATCATTGGACCCCAAGAAGCCATTAGCTGATCAGCTTGGCAATGCTTTTTCTATTAATGAGTCACCCATATGGATGGACTGCAGCACCACAGCTCAGTGTAGAGAAATAGAGAAAGCTGTTGGAGGTGCATTGGAGTTGTCCAGAATTACAGGTTCTCGTGCTTATGAGAGATTTACAGGACCACAAATTCGGAAGATATTTGAGACACAGCCAGAACTTTATAAGAATACTGAGAGGATCTCTCTTGTTAGCTCTTTCATGGCATGTCTACTTATAGGGGCTTATGCTTGCATTGATGAAACTGATGGTGCAGGGATGAATTTGATGGATATAAAGCAAAGGGCTTGGTCTAAAGTTGCATTAGAGGTTTGTTTCGCTGCTTTTTTTTGGTGGTTTCTTTTATCAATCCCTGACTCTTGTTGATTGATTTTTCTTAACGATGTTATTTTCAATTTTAAGCCTTCTTCAAATTACTGATATTGTGAACTTCAATTTTTGTTACAGGCTACAGCTCCAGGTTTGGAGGAAAAGCTTGGAAAGCTAGCTCCTGCACACGCTATTGCAGGTTCTATAGCTTCCTATTTTGTGGAGAGGTTAGTAGCATATTGCTCCCTAAAATTTCACATTTGATGAGCTGTTGCTAACATTTCAGTATTATGCTGGGTTGTGAATTTGGTATTAAACTCATACCATTTGCATTGTCAGTGATAGTAATCAAAATACTTTTTTTCTTTAGTGTTTTGTGTGTGTAGTTATATTGACGCCTTTGCATGTCTTAGGTATATGTTGTTACATCTCTCTAACAACAGTATAGAAACAGATTGAAACTCATGAATGTCTTTTCAGGTTTAACTTCAATAAGAATTGTCTGGTGGTTCAGTGGTCTGGAGACAATCCTAACAGTTTAGCAGGTCCATGATTCTCTTGATCTATTATAAATTGAATTCTTTATAAAATATCTGTGCTACTCAATTATGCTGGTTTGCTAATCAATCCCTAATGTTGTAGTTGGTAGCAGTAGTCTCTTTTCAGCATGCACTTTGTATTTTTAATTTAAGAAATATTATTTTGTCCGTCAAATTTTAATCTATTACATAGAGGCGAAGACAGTGTAAATGTATACTAAAACCTACCCCATCTTGATCTTTTCTTCAGTTTACAAACTCTCCAAAGTGTTTGACTGTCTTTGGAGTGAAGACAGCCAGACAAATTTATGCACCTGTACCCAGCATCCATATCTGACTCAATGCAACATGGCTCAAAACTTTGAAAGATTCATCAGGGTATGATGTGGGAAGACAATATGATTAATTAAGAACTCGGTTAATGTTGGGAGAAAACTAACAATAGACATAAAAATTAAATAAAGAACTGTAACAGTTTAAATTATCTTGTACTGCTTATTTTGTAGAGAAATCACTCTAATGCTTGCTTTCCTTAAATGAGCTAGCTTATTCATGCCATACTTATGAACTTCAGCTGCATTTTTAGCATAAAATCAATATTTTCTGAAAGTAGTCCCCTTGTCCTCGTTGCTAGACTTTTGTTTTTGATTTATGCTAGTTCCTTGGGGTTGGAAATATTTGCAAAATAGAAATCTTTCTTGCTTCTATTGTATGTCAAAATTAAGCATTTTCCTTTTCATTTCAATTCCTTGAGAGCTCTATGTTAATTTTGTTGCTAATACATTGATTGCCTCATCTCCCTGGCCAACAGAAAATGAAAGGAATTAGCATTTATTGCCTAACTTTTTGCAGAACCAATATGATGAAAATACACAATAGTAGTTCTTTTAGTCTTAAGGTTTTGAAAATAAATAATAGGTGTTCTTTCAATCTTAAGGTTTTCATCATTAAAAAGTTTTGGGCTTGCAGGTTTAACCCTAAACACACCTGGGGATCTGGCAATCAGTTTGGGCACCAGTGACACTGTAAGTGCTATTTATGCCTCTTTATTTGATCAATAACATTCTCCATGCTTGCTCTCATTCTTGGAAACATCATATGCATCATCAGTGAACCTTTAAGTGCGTTTGAAGTCCCATGTCTTGAAATAGAAATTCCTATGTGAATCTTTAAGTGGTAGGTCCTACTTCAAATTCAAAGCGTGTATCCTAGACTTCCTTGAAGCTTTTGGTTGCTTTGTCTATGACAATACAACTTAACCAGAGTGTTCTCTTGTTGGAAGAGTTTCTTTTCAGGGTTCTGATTACATGTAGTACTGGTAATAATACTTTGCTACGTGTTCTTGTGCTTCTATGTTTTCTGGAATCTTCTGAAACTTTTCTATAATGTTTTTCATGAGATAAATTCTTCCTTGAAACTTGTCAAATGCTTCTGCACCTTTTTCCATTTTTCTTTGAACAAATTGAACTTAAAGTACTACAAGCTCTTTCATTTATCACCAAGAACATATTCAGGAACCATCTGACCAATGTATCAAATAAAATTTAGCAGTGCAACTGGTTTTTTGTTTGAGAAATTGGATTTCATTTTTTGGAATATTTTTCAGCTTTGCTCATTAGGTGCATTTTGCAAGGCTTGCAAGTCCTCAATGTTTAGTCTACTATGCAAAAGAATTCAGATGTTAGTTATAAGCTGCGCCCTCAAAGATGTATTCTAACTTTATCCTGCCCATATTTGTTGCAGGTCTTTGGGATCACTAAGGATCCGCAGCCTAGTTTAGAAGGGCATGTTTTCCCAAATCCTGTTGATACAGAAGGCTACATGGTAATGTTGGTCTACAAAAATGGGTCTCTGACGCGTGAAGGTAGCAGAAATTCCTTCCTATTTGTTTGGCATTTAAGGTGGTTGTCTATTTATCTAACATGGCCTCCATCCATGTTAATTTAGATGTACGAAATCGCTATGCTGAGAAATCTTGGGATGTATTTAACAAATTTCTGGAGCAAACTCCTCCACTAAATGGTCAGTAAATATGTTCTTCTACTAACATTTCCTCTATACAAAAGTTATTTGTTCTTTATTTCTCATTCTAGTTCCTGCAACAGGTGGGAAGATAGGTTTCTATTACAAGGAGCATGAGATTCTTCCTCCTCTGCCAGGTGGGTTTCTTTTTTTTTTTTTCTTGCATATCAGTGAGATCACCTGTTGAATGGGCTGTTTATTTTCATAGTTCTTTTTTTCTACTAAAACATGAATATCATTAATTGGCCTGCAGTCCAATCAGTTGAGCATCACTAATGTAATTCATATGAACATGATAGGATTTATTTTTATGGGATAATTTGATATAGTGATATTTCAATACACATACAAACTTGAAAGAAGCATATTTATGTTATAATATAATATTTCTGAACAATGTTCAACCTGCTAAAGTTTGCTCATTTCCCAAGCCTTGAATAATAATCTAAAAGCTTCTTTGCATATTCAGTTGGCTTCCATCACTACCTTCTTGAAAATTTCACTGGAGAAACTCTGGATGGCTTGAATGAGCAAGAAGTGCTAGAATTTGATCCTCCTTCTGAGGTAACTACTCATGAAAGAATTTGGTGTTATACACTGATGAGTTTCTACTTCTCTTTCTTGAAAAGCAATGGATTTATTTGCAGGTCCGTGCCTTGATTGAGGGCCAGTTTCTCTCAATGCGTGCTCATGCAGAAAGATTTGGAATGCCTTCTCCTCCAAAGCGATTCATCGCTACTGGTGGAGCATCGGCAAATCAAGGCATTCTCAGCTCAATTGCATCCATTTTTGGCTGTGATATTTATACGGTCCAAAGACCCGGTATGTTGTTGCTATATGTTATCTGCACTAATTTACAAAAATTTTTATCCAGTTTGAACCTTCTTAAGTCAATGAACTCATCCTTTCTCAGATTTTGTTATGTTATGGTTTAGAGCTTAGAGGTATACCTGGTCCCGAAATATATAGCGCATGAGTCTGAAGCCTGAATTACCTGATTACCTTGTACTTTCTTACGTCTACAGATTCGGCTTCTCTAGGAGCTGCATTAAGGGCTGCTCATGGTTGGCTGTGCAGCAAAAAAGGCAGTTTTGTGCCAATCTCATCTATGTACAAGGACATGGACAAGACATCCCTGCGCTGCAAGCTCTCAATGGCTGCTGGAGACCAGAATCTGGTTTCCAAGTATGCATTATTGATGAAGAAGAGAATTGAACTAGAGAACCACCTTGTCCAAAAGTTGGGCCGTTGCTAGAAGTTAAAATTAGTTTAATGAGGTGTGAAAAGGGATAATGCCCAGTGACAGCTCTTTGATAAATGTCTACAAACAATAATAGTATTGTTACATTTCGTGATTAATAAAAGGTATTATCATCTTCTCGGTTTAACATGGTTGTACTTTGTTTTTCGATCTGTTTCATTCGTTGTTGGTATTAATTTATACAAAGGGGACAGTGTATAAAATGGGTTGGGAAAGCTATCAAATGTACTTTACTGTTGTTATTATAAAAGCTAAGTTCTCCAGTTAGCTGCTTGCAAACCTGATAAATTTGATAATTCGTATCATATTTATTTTATCTCAAATATAAAAATTATCATATTTTTATATTAAAACATGAAATTTGAATAATTTGATATTTGTATCGTATTTATTTATTGTCAAATACGATTAAAAATATGAAATTTCACAATTTGTATCACATCAAATACATTTTTTTTTAATTTTTGCCAAGGCCGGTGCTAGAGCTGAAGTTGGGGCCAGCTAGGCAACAGCCATTCACTTAAAGATTCTAGAATCAGCATTCCTTTTTTCGAATTGTTACGGTGCATGTTTAACCAAAACTAAGCTTTCGTGTTACTGTGTCTGTTTTAACTAGATGTTTTGTGCTCGTTATCTTGGATCCGGTTAACATATGCGTGAAGCCATGGGGCATGGTTTTCAATCCTTATTCAAAGAAAAAAAAATTCAAGAAATCTAAATTTTAACGGAGGGAATTTCTCATATATCAAAGCTCCTTTTTAATTTTTATTCATAGAAATACCAAAATCATTCAAAAACATCTTTCAACCACCAAAGCAACATGCATCCAAAGCAACAAGAAAAAACATCAAAGTGGAAGGCCTATAAAAGTAATCTCTGCCCTCAGTAGTCATCAGGCTCTTCCCCTTCATCTCCTGCACCAGACTCCGCACCAACTTCCTCATAATCTTTTTCCAGTGCGGCAAGATCCTCACGAGCCTCTGAGAACTCTCCTTCCTCCATGCCCTCACCAACATACCAGTGCACAAAAGCACGCTTGGCATACATGAGATCAAATTTGTAGTCAATGCGGGAAAACACTTCTGCAACACTGGTTGAGTTGGAGATCATGCAGACAGCCCTCTGCACCTTGGCAAGGTCTCCTCCTGGAACAACTGTAGGTGGCTGGTAGTTGATACCACACTTAAATCCAGTAGGGCACCAATCAACAAACTGGATTGTGCGCTTGGTCTTGATGGTGGCCACAGCTGCATTCACATCTTTGGGCACAACATCACCTCGGTACATGAGGCAGCAAGCCATGTACTTTCCATGGCGTGGGTCACATTTGGCCATCATGGAAGAGGGTTCAAAAGCACTGTTGGTGATCTCAGCCACTGATAGTTGCTCATGGTAAGCCTTCTCAGCTGAAATAACAGGTGCATAGGAGGAAAGCATAAAATGAATCCTGGGATAGGGAACCAGGTTAGTCTGGAACTCGGTCACATCCACATTCAGAGCTCCATCAAACCTCAAAGAGGCAGTAAGAGATGAGATAACCTGAAACATACGTGCCAAAACACCACAGTTACGAAAAATGATCATTACATTCTGTAACTTAAAAGACTAATTTTTTTAAGAATTCTTATCATTACCTGAGAGACAAGGCGGTTAAGATTGGTATAAGTGGGTCGTTCAATGTCCAGAGAACGCCTGCAGATGTCATATATGGCTTCATTATCGAGAAGCACAGCAACATCAGTGTGCTCAAGGAGCGAATGAGTGGACAGCACACTGTTGTAAGGCTCTACAACAGATGTAGAAACCTGAGGTGAAGGATACACAGTGAAACCAAGCTTTGACTTCTTTCCATAGTCAACAGAGAGACGCTCCAAGAGAAGAGATCCAAGGCCAGAACCAGTACCACCACCAACAGCATTGAAAACCAAGAACCCTTGGAGTCCGGTACAGTTATCAGCGAGCTTTCGGATACGATCCAAGCAGAGATCAACAATCTCTTTTCCAATCGTATAATGGCCACGGGCGAAATTGTTGGCAGCATCTTCTTTCCCACTGATGAGTTGCTCAGGGTGGAACAGCTGACGATACGTTCCAGTCCTAACTTCATCGATAACAGTAGGCTCCAGATCAACAAATATAGCGCGAGGAACGTGCTTTCCGGCACCAGTTTCGCTGAAAAAGGTGTTGAAAGCATCGTCTCCTCCACCAACAGTCTTATCACTTGGCATTTGGCCATCAGGCTGAAAAGACAAATTTCAAAAAAAAAAATTACCACAATAATCCACATTCTAAAACCTAGATCTGGCCTAAATTCTCTAACACAAGGCAAATCATTCAGCTAAAATTTCAATTGATCCAGATCTATCGATTTGATAAGTTATATTACAAACTATTTATGCAACAAATTCAAATATAATCGAAAAAATCCACAATAAAATGAGTAAAACAAATCTAACAGCAGAAAAATGAAATAAATGATTAGAAGAAAATGAAAAATTACCTGAATGCCATGCTCGAGACAGTAAAGCTCCCAGCAAGCATTGCCGACCTGAATACCGGCCTGACCGATATGAATCGAAATACACTCTCTCATTTTCTTTTTTTTTGAGATTCAAGAAAACCAAAGAAAATCCTAAGAAAATGAAACGAAAATTTTTGTTTGGAAAAAAAGATTGTGGCGTGTATCAAGACGCCTGCCTTCTCCAATATGAGATTTGGAGTTCCTTGGTGGGGATTATATAGGGAGGGAGATGGGATGGGAAGAAGGAAAAAATTTTGAAAAAAAGAAAAAAATTGTGGTTGGAGAAACTAGGGTCAGTTAACCGTGGTTAATGATGCCAGAGAGGAGCGGGTTGTCGTTATTGTAAACGGCCTAAAGCCAGCCTGGCTTTCTCTAACCACCTATTGCATTTTTTATTTTTGAATTTGGATTATGGAAAAAGGGCTGGGGATTTGTTGAAATGGCAGAAGGAATGGAGATCGTGATATCGTTTAGGGAAGGGTTGTTTTGTCATTTTGATATGGCTTGGTGGGGGGGGGGGGGACACGAGGATGCTGGTGAGTCGATCTTACGTTTCTATCGGTGGGCCCATTGTGGCCCAATCCGATGGAATTGGCTCAATGGCTTTGACCCCATTGCTCCCAGCATTCTTGTCCTCTCTTTGCTACATTTTCATGTTCCAGATCAGATGTTTGAACAGAAATGATAATTGCACGGACGATTTAGTTTGAATTTGAATCATTTAAATTTGATGTCTAGATTATTTAAGTTCGAGTCATCATAATATTGAAAAATTATTTTTTATTTTATTTTATTAATTAAAAAATATAATTCATTGCGATTCATATGATTTTGGTTTTCACTATAAACAGTAAACAGAACAGCATGATCCGAATCTAAACCGAACACTAGTTCAGGCCTCCTCTAGCTCCCCACCCACTTGAAAATTTTGACTTTCATAAATGTCACTAATAGTTTTTCTGACAATATCTGTTTGGTCCTTATGCAAAACGCAGGCCGAGGTCACTCCATAAACAAACGACATTTCTTCAAAGTTTGGCCGCCTTCTCTAAAGGGCATGCATGTCCTACATATAAAAACGTTATCCAACTGGCCAAACGTTAAGCATCTAATCCAACAATCACACTCTACATCTAAATCTATGCATTGAAACTGCATTATCATCGATGGATGAAATCTATGCATTTGAATAATAAGCAACAAAACTTAGCTTCAAGACCGATAGGTTCGGCATCAAAAAGATTCTAAACATGTCGAGACTGAATTGATGTATGATTGAAAATGATAACAGTCACTAGCAAAGTACATAGCAATCCATGAACAAGTTGCAGAATGAGAATCCCATGTTGCTAACTGTAATCAAAGAATAGGAAACAAACTTAAACAATATGAACTTCCCCAGAGAAATAATTGAAGGATAAAACTAAACATCATTAGATGCTATAGCTGTAACTAAACTTGGCAAAAATGATAAAAGGATGGGAAAAGAAGTTTTGACAAAGCCCCCTGGGTGGGGATCTACAGACTACAGTTAGAATTGGCTTCTAACTCTAGTAGTCACCAGTAATTGCATCAGAAGAGTATACAGTAGCATCAAATTGTGAACATATATGATCGGTAGAAAGATACTTATGCGTAATACTCCATAACTTCCAACTTCATCCAGTTTAAATCTAATTGCCTATCAAATTGCATACGCCTAATTTGCAACAAAAATGAAAATCTTAGGGGCTAGACTAAGGTCATGCAACTGAAAGATGCAAAGAAACCAATAAATTTTTTGTATAAGTAAGGGTATAAACAAGCTATTAAGTAAAATAGTGCGATGTTGGAGCAAATGGCTTTTGAAGGTGAAAGAATTACAAGTTTGGATGCCACCTTGTTTGGCAGACAGATTAACTCACAGATGGTTACATGCATTAAATAACATTCAGCAATATGTCTAATCTCAACAAAACTCAAGGAACTATCAAGTCATGAGCAAATAGAAGATATTCATGACAGAAAGGATGAAGGCAAACATATATTGAGTTGATAATTACATTGGAAAGGGGCACTTTTCATGGGAACTACTGTGGTTTTACTTTGATTAGTTAGACAGGAATAAATTACACAAACATCTTTTTATTAATAAGAAACAATTGCAATCATGATTTAACATAAAGTAGCATGGGGACACAAAAAGAATATCACATGACCAAATCCATGACTTAATTAAAGAACTGTCCTCAATCAACAGACATGGTTCTCCAAGCCTTTTCTCATTAGATCTTCATATAAAGCCAGCAAGCAAAAATGTCCTAAGGAAGCATTGTTGCACATGGCTTGTACAAGAACAAAAGAGATTAGAAAGAGTTATAACCCATTCAAATAAGAATGAGGAAAGCATTCAGTTATTATAGTGGACTTGTTCAGAGGATTTTCTGGAAACCTAGCTAAGTTGGTTTCATATGCAAATGCCAAAAGTCCATGAGCGTGTAAAGAACATTGTTGCACAGTTCAAAGTAAAAGACGGTATTCACACCGATGACGTACAGAATACTGAGCAGAATATGCTGTGTTTGATACAATGTAACAAGGATAGCGAAATCTGAAAGCTTACATAA